CATCTGAACGCGGGCGGAGCCACGGGCAATGCTAGTATTATTTATATATTTTGAAAAATTAAATAAAAAGTATCCAAAGAATATTAACTAAGTATGGCCTAATGAATTGTGATTCCATTACGTACTCAAAATGTCAGTGTGACGGTGCCGTGAGCGTGACGGACGGCGGGGTCGCATGATGAAGTGCCTCACAATTAATTAGTGGATGAAATCTCGCTACACATGGTAGATGTTAGCTCATATAATAGATACTAACAACCTATCCCGGTTTTGCCTATTACAAAAACAAGAATCGGATTTTAAAGTTAGAACTTTTACAAAAACACTAAATGGTTCAAATTTTAAAAACAAAGAAATATATATTATTTCTTATTTTATATCTTATTTCAGAGAGGATTAATATATTTTTGTATTTAGTTGGAAATTTTTGCTTTTGCAATTTCAACAATTAGTCATACAAGCTTTTATTTCATTTATGCACATTACTTCCACAGAATATTTATATATTCATTCTTATAAGTAATTATTATTTTTATATATACTTTGTAAAAAAATAATTCTGAGTTTTTTTTTTAATTTACTACAGGATGTTACTATAAAATATATAAAAGCATACAATAATTGTCATTAAAATGCCTAGACGGTAGAAGAAACGTAAACTGGGGCAAATCTCCTCACTCCTCATAAGGAAAACTTATAAAACTATTACTTACCTAATAAATTTTATTTATATCTTTCAGTTTAGATGCGACATGTTTTAAGGATTCAATTTATTACAAGTAAAATATAAACATTCTATCAAGAAGTAGAATAGAGAGCTATATTAAAAACCCAGTTATCTAATTTTAATTCGTATAATTTCAAATTTTTACTATTGCCTAAAATCTATGATTTTCTGTTATTATATATTTAATCTTTTTTTAAAGGATTTTTTAGAGAAATACTAAATAATATCCCATTCCAAATCCCATTTCATTTAACTACAAGATTTAGCCGCCGTCATGATACCACCAAAGACCAGCTAATAACTGTACAAAATTGGATTAGTCTATACAGATGCGTTTGTAGCATGAGCGTTCTAGCGTCACTAAATAAATTTCCGGCGGTGACCCTTTGACGGGACCTCACGAGATAATATTGGTATAAAATTGATATATAATTAGATCAAGACACGATCGATGACCGTTCTCCATTACCTTATTACCCCTATTATTGCGTCTCTAATTTCCTGCACATCGAGAGGCTAACGAAGTTTCTCGAAGCGTCGCGTAAAGTGCGCGTTCTGATAGTCAATTACTGCCTTGGACCAAAGATGTAAGGGAGACTACAAAGAGAACGGGATGTAATTAGTGTAAGAACTTTATGTTTTCTGTGGTAGTTACGAAACTTTATATGCTTAATAAATGACATTGAAAGCATATTTTCATCGAACTATAGGTATTTTGGCTGAAGACAGCAAAGTAAATCGACTTTAAATTATCCGCTTGTAACATTCAGTTATTTTATGTGCCAGTTCGTAGATTTTGAATACAGATTTTTGATATGTCAAGTGGACAGTCGGTGATTCGCATTATATGAGTTAGGAATATAAAATATAAATGTAAAATGAGTATACAGAAAAAGCGAGAAATATAATTGTTAATTGCCAAATATTTTTCTTCCTGGAAAACCCTTCTGAGCTGTTTTACGCTAGATATTTTTTTTATTATATATGTTACAAAAACCGTGGTACAATTTTAGCTAACGAAAGGATGGAATCGAATATTATCTATTCTAATATTATAAAGAGAAAAAATGTGTTTGTTTGTTTGTGTCGAATAGGCTATGAAACTACTGAACCGATTTAGATGAAATTTGGAAAGAAGATAGTTTGATACCTTGGGAAGGACATAGGATAGTTTTTATCCCGGAAATCGTCCCTTAAGGGGGTGAAAATGGGGGTAAAAGTTTGTATGGGAAAGCAAGTATTAAATATTTATATTACTAACTACATAAAAATCAGTTACTAATTTAAAACAATTTATAAATACTCAGTCGTATTCAAACTTTTATTTTTAATTTATTTTAAGTACTACTTATACAAGATCCTAAACTGTCAAAAGAAATGACCGTACAAAGAGAGCGTATTCTCATAATTTCCGGGGACGTCACACGCGTTATGTTTAACATGTCGACCGCTAGCGCCTACTGAGTTAACCGTTTCCGTCTGCGGATAACAGCCATATCTAATTTATGTGGTTATATAAAATAATTTGTGTATAAATATCTAGTAATTCTTAAGTAATGAATTCAAAAAAAAAGTATTAGTATACTAGCGACTCACTCTCGCTTCGCTCGAGTTTGCTTCTATAAAAATAAAAACAAATCTATCCCAAGGGAACCGTACATTTTCCCGGGATAAAACGTAGCCTATGTGTTATTCTGATGCTAGCTGTATTATTAGCTATATTATTGTAAAGTTTCATTAAAATCCATTCATTCGTTTTTGCGTGAAAGAGTAACAAACACCTATACAACTATCCTCACATACTTTCGCATTTATAATATTAGTAGGATATTAAATAAAAGAAAGCATGTTTTCAAAAATCTTAAGACATTGTTCTTAACACAAAACTAAAATATACCTACTAAAAATAAAACAATATAAAAACAAATATTCGATTTAAAAGGAATTTGGTTTTTTTTCGTCAAATTAAAATATTCATTTTAATTTTCTGAGATTTCAGATTCTATTTTAATTTAAGACAGACAGAATGACTTATTAAACTTGGTTCACAATCCACCAAGCATACACGAAGAGAAACAGTCGAATCAAAATCCCATCTTAATTAAAAATCGGTATTTATCTTTTGTTCAGTAATTTAATAAACAATTATTTATTTATGGCAATACCGGGTCAATAGCATCGCTCAGCGTTTTTCGGAAAAACTTAAAAAATGCGTTTTTTTTTCTTCAATAAATACACCTATCTAGACAAACTTAAAAAGCAACACCTTATCTAAATACAAAATTTGATCCAAATCATTAGAGCCGTTTCCGAGACACGAAATAAATCTATACTATTATTATAAAGAGGCAGAGTTTGTTTGTTTGAACGCTCTAATCTAAGGAACTACTATTCCGATTTGAAAAAATCTTTTTGCATTTAAACGGACTATCCGTTTATTGAGAAAGGCTATAGACTATATGTCATATAATATATAGTCAATCTATCTATTCCATACAAACCGTTAACCTAGTCACGAACCTGAGCAAAACGAGGGTGAGTCGCTAGTTTAAATATATATGAATTGCTCGTTTAATTTATTAAGATATTAAATTTTTAAATGTCAATAAATACCAATATTGTCTTCAATACTCACGGTCACGAGTTTGAAAGTCATTGAGGGTGTTTAAAGCACGAAAGCAGAGAGTCGTACAATTATTGATTAACACTCGGTAGTATGCAACTTGTGGCTAACAGGAATATGGCGTAAAGCTATTAAAATATAAATGCTTTAAACTTTTTAAAAGTTATTTTAATATAAATATAAAGACTATAAAATATAATAATATTAGATATAGGATAGAAAAAACTTCCAAAATAATAATAGTTGTACCTAAATTTATAAAAGCCATTCTATAATATTAAAATTAAATAATTATTAACAAAAAAAATGTATTCAATTTATTTGTCGTATGCCAATTATTATTTTTTAGTAAACAAGTAGTTTTCAAAAGCATCTTATATCCACATTTTCCTGTCCAAAATCATTAAAATAATCAAAACATTGAATTGTAATATATATTGTAATATATGTATATATATATATATATATTATATATATATATATATATATATATATATATATATATATATGCAAATATTACAGGTATATTTATTTAAAAAAAAAACAATTTCTGCAGACGTTTAATACATTATATTACAACGGATCGAACATACAATTTTCTAACAATTTGAAAAAGAATCTCAGAGGCATGCAAGCGTACTCAGAACACTGTAGATCGTGAATACGTCTTTCAGGTCGGAAACAGGCCGACAATTAGCGCAGCTAGAGGTCGCAAGAGGTTGTGAGAGGTGGCGAGAGGCACTTAGCATTCATGCCAGCGTTTCATCACCTCGCCGCAACGCGCACTTACACACTGATTTAGTCGGGATAACGTAATAATGCCGGGATAAGTGAATAGTCCTGAAGATCTGTTACATTTTGTAAAAGAATTGCGTTATGGATGAAATAAAATGTGTTATTCAATTTATATCATTTAGTAGTTTGTGTATAAACTGTTAGTTTGGTGGACTTTTTTTATGAAACTTTTGTATTCTATTTTATAAAATAATATCATCTACAATAGGTGCTAGTTACTCCTTTCTCTAACTACCATCCTACCTGTCACAGTGAAAACGGTGCATACTTACTCAACTTTACCCAATACTACACATAGTCTGCAGCAAACACACTACTTATTATGAAGAATTATTTATATCTACGTAATTCTTTTATGAAGAAGACATTGCATAAACCATAGCATCTCACCGTTCTCCGGTTTGTGACTACACATGTAAATAAATACACATCACAGACCAGAAATCAGTGTGTTCTAAATAAAACCAAAACGTTTTCTCAAAAGCATCCTAAGTTGTATTCTAACCTAATCCCGGTCAAAGTCAGTTAAGTCACGAGCCCTACAATTCAAAAAAAACAACACATCAACACACAAACATACATTCACCCCGTAAGAAAATCCGGACAGCAGATAACATTAATTACACACTTGTAAATAAAATCATATTTTTCTAAACTATTTACGGGAGCCTCTCCCGTGACCATGATAGTTGTAAAGCATCTGAAACGTCGGGAACTAAAAATAAAAAACGAAACAATCCGAAAAGATAGTTTTATCTAAATGTCAAATGTTCGCGTAAATTTAAGAAACTGTTATAGACACTACATTAGTACGCTTGTCCCACTAAAATATGTAAAAATCAACAGTCAACTTACCCCCTCCATTTTTGTAGCAAAGGTATGGAAAGCGCCACACATTGGCGAGGTCGACGGCGAAGCCGATGACGGAGAGCAGGAAGTCTACCTTCTTGCCCCATGTCTCGCGCTCGCCGACGCCCGGCGTCGGGGTCTTCAGCGACATTCTAGTACTGGCTGGATTGCCGCCACAGACTAAACAACCAAAAATAATTATAATTATTTAACACATATTCCGATTAGGTTATGATAAACAGGCAGATTTTTATGTTGCCGCTGGACTATTTTGCATTATTTTACAGCACAGGATAATTTTTATGTTACAGTTCAGAGAAAAAAATGTACATAAATGGACATACATGCTTCATATTAGTAAAAATGATTGATATTTGTACTGAATAGCCTAAATTTCACATGTCTTTCGAAAACTTGCTAGGTTCTCTCAGACATGCACGTTTCCTAACGATGTTTTAATTTACCGTGAAGACAAGACAAGTGGTCATCATGTTAGAAATTATTCTTACATGAAAATATTAAAGGGGCAAGACCCGGAATTTGAACCCGCTTCACTCGATTTTCCAAGCGAACACGGTACCACTACTAGGCTACCACTGCCTTAAGAAAGTATAAAAAGTGTACTCTATTTACAGGCTGCATATCGCATTACGGACTTATTCTATTAGAAAAAAAAACAAGTTTATTTATTTGTTTATTGGAAAATGATTTCCTTATATATGAATATATGGTAAGAACAAAAATAAAATGCAACTACTGAATTTTTAAAAAAGAAAACTCCTTAACGGCAGGGTTTCGGCTTACATTTAAACGAGATCACGAACAGTGTGAGTTACTGCTAAAATAGTTATGACGCAGTTTTCGACTTTTCACTTTTTCAAACAGCTCTCACGGAAGAATGGGTAGAGTAAAATTTAGTAAAAAAATGAACTTAGAGAACCATTCACCGTTTTATAGAACATAGGTAAAAAATAATATGTGCACTTTTTTCTTACGGTTTTTTTTTAATTTCTATGAGGGCCGTCTTCGAAAAAATGTTTTGAAATAAAAGAATTAATTTTGGCCCGCTGAAGTCTCCTTGAATTACCCTGGCCATATGCGACCGCATAGGTTACATTGGCATAGCTACGCCACTGCATGACGCCGACGTCGGACACACATAAGAAAATGAAGACGAATATGAAAAAGTTGTATTTTGTTCCACTTGAAGTATGGTTTTCTGAAGCCTGATATCATTATAACTATTTATTTATCATTTTGAATATTGAAACGTGGCTTGTGACATTGTTAAACGAGTTGTATTTATATGTAATGAACAGTTTGAGAGCATTCTTTCTTACATGGGTAGCGCTGGTGATTTAGTTTTTTTTTATATAGGCTTACTAAAATTAAAAAAAGAAGTTAAAACATATAGCATGCATATTGTATAAGTACAGTGTTAATAAATGTTTAATCTTTATCTGGACTTCTAGAAAATTCTGATAAAAACCATTATAAAGGTAAGATGGCCATTATTGGAAAAAAACACAAATGTATAATAATCAATATTTCGACGAAATTTAGTTTTCTTTATTACTACTCACTATTTCTTTTTTAATAGCCAAATAGCTTTCAAACCACCAAAAAATTTTGAACATACGAATACGTAGCGGTTACATCGAAAGGACCTACTTGCCTTTGATCCATCAGTCATGTTACATAGTGTAAATGACTTAAAGTAAAAGTCTAAAAATTAAAAGGTTCGCGAGATGACAAGCACTTGACCTTTAACGTGTTTTAATTACGAGCGAAATTATTCGAAGTCGAGAGCTCTCCATTAGGTGCGCGTTCTATGGAGTGACAAATGTTATAACGCTCGCGTCGCTGGGCTCCACTCGAACTGACCGGCGAATTACGCCTAGGGCTGAACCATATATATGTACATATAATACATTTTTTGAATCTTTTATTTTTATAAAATTATAAAAAAATCAAACTTTCTTGAAATAGACTTTTACAAGCATTTTTGAATCGTAACATTTACAATTTTTTGTAATTTTAAGTGAAATGTCAGTATGTAAGTCCGTGAGGAATCTACCACTGGCTCGGAAAGCAGTTCTGCTTAGAAGTGGCGGCGGGAAACTTACCAATTGTATTTTAAATATATGTAACAAATTCTTTTATATAATATAATAAATGTTTTAGTAAATATTTTAAATCTAGCATATTAAGAAATGGCTGAACTACTCAAGTTGCGTAAATAAGCCTCCCTTATTCAACATTATTTTTTTATACCATTTTCTGTAGAAAACCTTGGCCCATGGAGTCAAAGTGCAAAACACTCCTTAAAAGATATAACACCACACCTTATCGCATCTACTGGTGACAAGAGAGCTGTCTCGTTTTTCGCCAAAAGAATATTGCCTATTCATTCAACCAGGCAATGCGGTTACCATTCTTACTAATACTCCACGCGCACATGACTTGTACAGTAATAATTAAGTATACATTTGTTCTGTATATACCTATAATTAAGCCTTTTGTAATTTTCTTTATTATAAATAAATATATATTTTTAGAAATATTGAATTTTGTATTATTAACCATTTTTTATTGTAGCTTTGTAAGATGTATATTACCTTAAGGTTAGCTTGTTGATTTTGTTTCTAATTGTATATTCTCATTAAAAATCTTATAATTTGTGTACAAAAAGTTAAACGAAAATCGTAACGCTGTTACGAAAGTCCCTTACATAATGCAGTCTTGTAACATTTCTTAGCATCGTCTTGATGGTGGTTAAATTTTCCTCATGATTGTTTTCGGATTTATCGTCAGCAGTTTACAGTATTACTACTATTTACTTAACAATAATAATTCAAATAAAAATGCCGTCTTTACTTTGAACTTTACCTACTAAGAACTAGCACTACCTTCATAAAATTTAGTTAAAATCCGATCAGTACTTTTTGCGTGAAAAGCAAACGGGTATACAGATAAACAAACAAAAATTTCCACAACTATTGTTTCGAGGTCTATTTTACATAATATGTAGCAAGCATTGTTTTAAAGAAAAAGCATGTACACATTTCGCACTGTTACTATTTTATTTTATGTACAGAATAGATATATTATATTACCCCGTTACCCAATACCCTGGTATTTATTGACCTTCAATATCGTTATTATTATATTGTATTTTATATAACCTATATATAAACGTAGATGGTTTTCAAATGTCTATTTTATACTATGAATGCTCAACCTACAACATGTAAAATAATTTATTAGCCGTAGTTATCATTCAAATATGTGATGGAATCATATTTTCTACGTGAGATTGAATGAATGAATAAATCTTTATTGTACACCCAAAAACAAAAAGAGAAAAGAAAATATACAAAATATAGAACAAGGTAGATATTGGTGAAGTACGCTATCAACAGTAAAAACAACTAGCAACTGGTAATCTGTTAACAAGAAAAAATAATTGAACATTATATTTCAGTACGTATGTATAATAATTTACTATTTAGAATAAAACATCGAAATATACTCGTAATTCTGAGATAAGCTAATATTTTTTAATAAAAGGCTACATGAAGAAATGTGCGTAGTAAATACCCACTTATGAATCTAGAAATAACAAATATGAAAAGTAGTATAGTGTGTTTAAAAACGTATTCTTAACTTTTTTTTAAATTTCGTGTACATGTAATTCATTAATTACATTATTTTTGCATTACATCACAGTGTCAACCCTAATATTCCGTAGTACTCGATCGGCGTAGCGCGAGTGGCTGTCACGGGCACCGCGATGATTCCGAAAAACCACTTCGTCATCACAACAGCTCTGTCTCGCCAACGCAAATTGGATCCGAATATCTGTCATTTCCGATACTATACTCAGTGTTATTTGCTATTTGATTAATTACTATGCCGCAGGGATTTAAAGTGACTTTAATTTTAAAAAGTCTAATTTTACATTTTATGAAGTAGATGAAACTGAATTTTCGGAAAACGAAAATTTATACCATCTACAAAAAAAACTATTCGCGCCAACAACAGAGAAACCTATGCTTAAGGTTATTTAAAATTTAATGCGTTTTTGGAGAACTTCTTCAATTATAATCGACGTTTCACACATGTTAACTAACGAAGTTTTATATGTTTAAAAAAAAAGGAAATAAGTATTTTTGACATTATATGAAGACATTTTAATATTATGTACATCTTTTTCTATAGGTTTTTTAATAAATTAATAATCAGTTTATGCCTCTCTTGTGGCGAAAGATTAATAGAGGGTAACAATACGTAACTATTTGTGATTCTAAAATATTATTTTGAAATTGGTACAATTAGGACAAGATTTATATAATAGAGATAGTTTTTTTGTAATATTAAGCCACAAACAACAGGTATTTTTTAACAAAATATTTTGGATTCCTGTGTGAAAATGTATAGCAACACATGCAACTGTATAGTAACTAAGCGCCAAAGCTCTCGCGTTTTATGAGGATAGTTTGTATAAATTAAACTACGATTGATATCAAAAGTTAAATACGTATAGAAAATTGTCTAACAAATATTAAAGAAAGTTGTAAATGACGACCATTTAAAAGCTGGATTATTAAAGAGTTCCCAAAGCTTTTGTTAAAAGAGCTTTTCTATGGGAAAAGAAATTCGTAATGTTTTGTTCGAATATTACATAACGCTATATTTATACTTGCATTGTATACTAAGAAAATATAGTTAAAAATTAATTAACTATGTACTTATTTTTTTTTAGTAGTAAAGAATACAAAATGTTAAGATTTAAAAGAATAGCAATAATATGATCTTATAATAAATTAATTTACGCTTAGCTCAGTTTGTAGTGACCCTACTTGCTATACCGGCGGTCACGGGTTCGAGTCCCGCTGGGTGGCATTCATTTGTGTAATGATCACGAATGTGTGTTTGTATTTATAATATGTATGTATGTTAAAGTTATATATGTGTAGTGTATCAACTATCTGGTATCCATAATATAAGTTTCGTAGCTTACCATGAAACTAGATGGTGCTGTGTGTTAATGTCTCGACATATTTATTTAATATTTATAATATGTATAAAATAGAGTGTATAGGGTTGAAATGAAGACGAAGTATGAGTTGTAAATTAAACTTAAATCAATATCAGTATAATAATTATTAATGCACCTGGGTGACTGAGCTTCGCTATATGTATATTTTTTTGTAAAGTCGCGATTTTGGCAAACATATAAAAATTGCATTTTTTCAGAAAAGACACCTATATAGATAAACTTAAAAATCAAAACGCTTATCTAAATGTAAAATTGGATTCAAATCCTTAGAGCCGTTTCCGAGATATACGAAATACAATACATATATATACTCATACTACAACGGCCCATTTAATATTATAACATTTTATTCATCAAGTAGGGGTTAAACTTACTAATATTAATATTTTCTGCCATATCTTTTTATTAAACCCTTAGGTTATTTTACTTTTATTATAATATAAAGATAACGAATATTTATAATTTTACTTGTGATATAATATTAAAAAAAATTAACAAAGCTTTTCTAAAAAAGTTATTATAAGGCAGAGTACTCACGTGCGGCTCGGTGGGCGCAAAACTCGCGCCATGTCCGCAGGCCGCGGCGACCGCAGCCGAGTGAGGCCACAGAGTAGACATTTTATCTATGGGTAGACTCCTCAACCCTGTGGGGGCGGGGCTCTGAGAACTAGGAGGTCCTTTCTAGAACATTCAATATAATCTTTGACGTAAAAGGATCTGAACATGTTTTATTTTATTTGCACTAAGGAAGCAAAGGCTAAAAGCAATTAGGTCAAAGATAATTTACTTAGCTTCTCTAAAAAAAAGAGATCTTTAATACTTTCTTAGATTTACGCGAATGTTTGACATTATGAAATAAAACTATCTTTTCGGATTATTTCGCGGATTTATTTTGATTTTTGGTTCCCTTTTTTTTTGACGTTTCGAATGCTTTACAGCATCCATGGTCACGGGAGAGACTGAGGTGTTACATGTCTTGAAGGTACTATAGTTGTTACAGACAGCCTACCCACAATTAACAAAATGAAAATTGCATCAATTACTTTACAACCATTACCATACCATGGGGAACCAAAAATCAAAAAAAAATCCGCGAAATAATCCGAAAATATAGTTTTATTTAATAAAGAGATCTTTCTTGTGAGTCTTGTTCAACAGTAAACTTTTCCAATAAAATGACATTAATAATAATGACAATGGTAGACATTTATTTTACTCCTATTATTATTTTTATGTGCAATGTGTAGATAACTTGATAGTTCATTTTGGTTTAAAGAAGACATCTTAATAATAATGATACTATTCGAACCTTACTTTGTAGTCACTAGATTCAAAGGTTAATCTATCAACCCTTAGCCTTTGGAATCCTTCGACTCTAATAATAAAAAAAAGTTTTAACAACGCGTCTTATAGCCTCTACTGATAACAAGAGATAGAGCTGGCTCCTGCTTCGTCCAAAAATCGGCATTGCACCTAGTATTCTTGCCACATTTTCCTACAGCAGAATCTAATTATTATTCATATTTTAGATTCATTGTATTTTTTTCCTAAATAAAGAGATATAATCAACAAGTAGTTTTACTTAATAAGTGCAATAATCACGACAACTAAATTAATGTATAACCAACTTATTATAGCCTAAAAAAAGCCTATACCTATTGTAAATTATCATTTTAAGCAAAAACAGCAAGCAAAAAAATCGAAACTCTTTCTCCGAGAGATAAAAAAAAATCAAATAAATCGATATTTTAATCTTTTTCGAGCTACGCAAAAAAAACGTTTGAGATTACTTATTGGGCCCCAAAACTAAGAGAAATGAGTATTGGCTTGAATTTGAAGAAAAAAAATACCTACCGAGAAGGCTAAGGCAGGAGCTATGCTACGCTTCGCTACAGTTCTCAACCTTTTTTTTTAATGTTGGAAAATGCATTTACGCATACCACCTGTAGACATACAGTTGGTTATGTGGGACTCACCGGCTAGAAAAGCCAGTACTACCCACTAAACCCATAATTTAAAAAAAAATGCTTAATATTTATTATTATAAATATAATGTATTTTTTAAATAATTGGTTTTAGATTTTAGAGGAAATAAAAATATTATCCCCTAAAAAAATAAAAGTACGTAAAGAAAGATATTAAAAAAAATATGAAAACAAACGTTAAATATTTCACTTCTACGAGATAAGGGAGTCAATTAGCTGGCTGGGCGGGACGCAGGGCGGGGCGAATGTACCCGCCCAGTCGACCTACTTCGTATTTACTCGAGAATGTGTCAATTGCACACTGGTTGAATTGGTTATTTAAGAAAGAACATGAGTTCATGAAACAAAATTTTTCAAGACGCAAAAAAATATCTATAGAAAAAAAAAATTACCATACAGTATAAACAAAAAATGCAAGTTTTTAAAGAAAAAATTTATAGACTATTTTATATAAAAATTGTTCACATTTTCAACCGACTTCAAAAAGGAGGAGGTTCTCAATTCGACTGTATGTTTTTTTTTATGATTAAATAATCTCTATGATTTAACAATTACTTACATTTTACACTAATTCTTTCGCCCACAAAGTTATTGGCACACTCATTACTAAAATTTTTTTTTTATACACCTTAATGAATACAAGCGTGCTAGGAGTTAAACAAATTTAACTTTTATATTTTACTTACGTTTTCCTAAGTTTTCGCCACTTGTGTCCACTGTTATCCATACTAATATTATAAATGCGAAAGTAACTTTGTCTGTCTGTTACCTTTTTACGCTTAATCCGCTGAAGCGATTTAGATAAAATTTGGTATGGAGATAATTTGAGACCCTGGGAAGGACGTATTTTTTTATCCCAGAAATCATCCCTTAAGGAGAGAAAAGGGGGGTGTAAGTTTGTATGAGGAATCAATCATTTCTCAAGTAAGGCATATAAAACTTATCATACCTATTTACATATAGTCTATCTATTCCATAATAAGTGTCAAAACGTTCCTAAAGGTTCCTAAAAGGAACGAACCCGAGCGAAACAAGAGTGAGTCGCTAGTTATAATATTATTGTTCTGCAAAAATTGGTTTACATTTTAAATAAAACTATCTTTTTGGATTATTTCGCGGATTTATTTAGATTTTTGGTTCCCGACGTTTCGGATGCTCTATCATGGCTTCATCAGCAATCATGGTCACGGGAGAGACTAAGGTTATAGACGTCTCAAACACATACTTGTTACAGACAGTGCCTCCCCACTATTATACAAAAATGATTTCAAAAATGACATTATAGTACCTTACAATATTTGTTGATTTTTATTTCTAAACATGTTAAAAAAAAATAATAAGTATTATAATTAAATATTGCAATATGATTTATTTAATTTTAGCTGTTATTATTATAAATATTACAATTTTTAAAAAACTTTATTATTTACTAATATTATTTAGTGTTGCTATTATTATATTATGTATAACCATAAAAAATATTAAAATTAAAAAATATTAATCATTTATCTAAGCAATATTATTGTTTTATATGTAATTTAAAAGAAGTTAAAATATTAATTTAGATTGCTATTATTTAATTTTAAAGTTAAAATATTAAGCAACACTATTGCTACCTTTATAGACAAAAAATATTAATGAGAATTACTGTTATTATTGCGATCCACACAGTATGAACTAACTACATCTACTGGTCTGTTATATTTGTTTTTGTTGTTAGATTTTATTATATTTATTACAGGATCCCAAGATGATGGTACCCAGTCGTAAGTACTCAGCCATCTTCCCTATTGAATAGGGTCTTCCCTAATGTATTTCCAAATCGGTTCAGGCGTCTTCGCGTAGTCACTGACCATACATAAAAAAAAGATTTCGACTAATTGAAAACCTCCTCCTTTTCGGAAGTCGGGTTATATATATATATATATATATATATATATATATATATAAAGTAAAAGTGATTGACTGATGTATCAACGCACAGGCCAAAGGCTAGAAAATTGAAATTTCGCACACGTATTCCTTATATGACGAAGGCATCCACTAAGGAACGATTTTTTAACATTCAAACCCCAAGGGGGTGAAATAGGGGATAAAGGTTTGTATAAAACTTTTTATTCCTTGGACATATTTGCATGAAATATTGTGAATTGAGTACGGCCAAAATAATAAGTTACGTATTCCAGCGCTTTCCAAAATTCAACCCCTAAGAGGGTAAAATAGGGGATGAAAGTTTTAAATAAACGCACAGGCCAAACCGTTAGGGCTATTATCTTAAAATTTCGCACACGTATTCCTACTATGACGTAGGCATCAACTAATGAAGAATTTTTCAAAATTCAAACCCCAAGGGGGTAAAATAGGGGATGAAAGTTTGTAAGAAACCTACCTTTTTAAAGTTTTTTTCGGTGGTTTTAGCCCGAGCGAAGCCGCAGGTTCTTCTAGTCATTAATATAGCTGTACCTAACTTCCATAATTTATTCAAAACAATCACAGATAAAAGTAACAAATATACAAAGCTAAAGGAAGTAAAACGCGTAGTATTTTGAGGATTCATACGTCGTAAGATTCGTTTTGATAGCGCGAGTGTCATAGGCTACATAAAAATAGTAAAAAATTAAAATGGCGGATTTCAGGCGCTAATTTGCGTAATATTGTAATATAATAATGTGTCTTTAAAAAAATATTTCTTCCAAACCAATTAATGGCGGTATCAAAATGATCACAAAAATATATACAACCACAGATCATATAATACGAGAATAGATAGGTACCTAATCAGATATTTTCGATGTCGATGTTCTTTAATTTGTATTCCGCCGATACCGATCTATTCTAAATGAAAACCCCCGTTTAGTTATTTTTTTTTCTAATGCCTGGAGGTCGGTTTTTATATTTTGTTAAAAAGATACTCATAACGTAACAAATTAGTGTGTTAAAATAAAACATACATTTAATATTTTATGTTACCAAACCCTCGCTTGTCCGATTTACAAGTTACATTGTATAGTTTGAAGAACTTCTATTTTTAACCACCGACGCTAAAAGAGGGTTGTTATAAGTTTGACGTCTGTTGTGTGTGTGTCTGTCTGTGGCATCGTATTTATTTATTTATCGGACCGATTTCGATACGGTTTTTTTCATTTGAAAGCCAGTTTCCTTGCGGTGGTTCTTAGCTATGTTTGGTTAATATCGGTTCAGCAGTGTAAGAGTATCAGCTCTTTTCCAAAATGATGTAAGGCATTTTGGCGTACGATTACTCGATTAAGTGTTTCACGCGTGCCAGTGTCAATGACAATTAAATGACAATTAATTTGCGTAGGGGGTTTTTAAATTTTTTTATTTATAATTATTTACTTGTGGAATAGTTTTATTGAAATTTAGATGGGATGACGCCTGTCATATAGCAGTAGTTAATTCGATAAAAGATTTTGTAATGGTTTAATCTAAAATAAATAATATTGCCATAACGTGGTCGAAGTCATTTTAGCTTAACCGGACCTTTCAGACAAGCTTACTTTTTTAAAACTCGAAGAACAAGTACCTACCTACCTATTTTATATTTGAAGTTGGATTCTGCCGGGAGAGTGAATGAAGAGAATGATATAGGTAACCTGGCGACAATAATAAGTAACAGGCTTGACTCTGGGTTTTGCGTCTACCTTCATAATTTTACTAATTCATCATGCTTCATAATCAATAATAACGTTTAGAATATTATAGTATTTTTAGTATTTATTGATCTTATATACTTATTTAATCTAAACAGCAAAAATTAATCGATGAAACTTTTTGTACATTACAAAAAGACTATCACTATCGCTAAATCTCTCTATTATCGAATCAGTATAAAATGAACTTGATAGAAACGTAAAGAATTATTGTTATTCAAAAACATGAATATTTTGTTTTTAATTATGTCGTGTTTCTCTGCCCTTAAAACCATCCTGTCATGCAAATTTTCTATACAAAATAGTTTCAATGTGTGACGACACGTTTGGCTCAGTTTGTAGTGACCCTACTTGCTGCGCCAGCGGTCGCAGGTTCGAGTCCCGCTGGGGGCATTCATTTGTGTGATGAGCACGAATGTTTGTACTCCAGTCATGGGTGTTTATATTTATAATATGTATGTATTTAAAAGTTATATATATATTATTATTTAATGTTTCACATCTGCCAGGCATCCCGCGACGACCTTAATTGTTTGTATTTTTATATACACACTAGCAGTACCCGCGGCTTCGCCCGCGTCCAAACTTCCGATCTCTAACAAAATTCACAGTTTCACCCGCTGGGCTAATCTAAGAATACCTGAAAATTTCATCAAAATCGCTCCAGCTGTTTTGGAGTCCATAGGATCCTATATACACAAATCGATTTTTATTTTATTTAATCAACAATTTAAATTTTAGTTCTTTACTTTAATGCGTGCCAGTTGAGGACAAATTATTTCGCCAATATCATGTTGAATGAAGGAGTCACGTTCGAGATTGGCTGGTGATATTTTGAGTTATTCCACTAAGAAACTGAATTTATTGCTCGGAAAATGGAGTCTTTTATGAAAATTTAGTGACACACCGACTACAGAGCCACCTAACGGATCCATTTGTGAATTCAAACCAACCAGGAGCAAATTGAAATATACACACAAAATTTCATCCAAATCGGTCCAGTCCTTTAGGAAGAGTAGGTTAACAAACACACGTACATATAGAAGAATATTATATATATATTGAGACTGAAGTGAAACTAATTTAATTTTAGCGATCGTAACTCAAAATAACCAGTAGCTTCAAAGATGTTAAACTTAGATAATAATTATTACACTACGGGACATAACGCGTGAATTCGCAAGTGGCTATATACCTAGTTCCCGACGTTTCGACTCTGTTGCACCAGCCGTGGTCACGGGCAGACTCCCGTGACCACGACGACGAATTCACGCGTTAAGTTCTGTAGTGTAATTATTGTATAAATATGAAACGCGATAATTTAAAAGGTTAAACTTAATTATATCCTGTAAATAAATTTTCATCTTAGGTATTTAGTAAGATCCACTACCTGTATTTATTACACATTTTTCTACTCCATTTTTCCAAAGTTAGAGGAAGAGAGTACAATTATACAATCGCATACAACGACTATACAATCATGTCAGCTAATATGGTTTTTTAACTAACATACTAACAGGCTATTCTTTCCGTATATGAAATTCTATAAATATATTATTGGAATATGCCTAATATGTCTTATTTAATTATTGATTTCATTTAATTTAATTTCTGTATTTGCCAATGAAATTTTACTTCATTACTTCAACCGCGCGTAAAGGTTACACGCACCTATTTTTTTATTATTAATTTGATGTCTTTTATAACTATAATTTAATAAGTATCTCTAATAATTTTAAACATAATATTGAAAAATTTGAACTATAGAGACACGGCATGAATTTACCTTTATTTCGTTAGTATATTTAGTAGATTTTATATGATGAAACATGGTAACCCTAATATTTTATTGGCTGTGATCGTTTGATTAGTTCATCCTAAAAGCCAATCAAAACACTCCAAGCAGACAGTAAAAAATGTCGGCGTAGGTGTAGTCGTCTTACATTTTAACTTTTTAACAGGCTAAACGCGGGTGCATTACATTATAAAATAATAAATATTTGCATTTGGCCCTACATATTTTCGTTTAAGTGTAAATATACTGTACAGGTAAAGATTCCTAATGTTTATACACCATATTTCACTTTCTCTCCCATGACAGATGATCAGTGTGCTGTTTTTTTATTTGTAAATAAAAACAAAAGTGTTTGTTTTTACTGATTTTGGATTTTATGTTCATTGTGGTATAAAAATATTTCGTTTTTTTATATTTCAATTTGATTACAAAAGTGATTCGATTCCATAAAGTTACTCAGCTATCTCGTGACCTGTTTTATAACAAAAAAATATCTAGTTATTGGTTAATTGCGCAGAAATGGGCGATGAAATGGACCCGTGTGAATGCCTGTGGAACCACGAGCTGGCGATGCGGAGGCTCATCTCACTGGTAAGTCGTTTTATCACCTGACCTTGCACTATATTCATCTAGATGTATAATTCAACTTACCACGTCTACAGTCGAAAAAAATATATAATAATAAAGCAGAGATTAATCATTGGTCATTAATGTACATTGTATAGTGTATTTTAAATTTAGAAATTCATAATGACTGCCTTGAAAATGATTATTATGAGTTTTGTTAAACACATCTCTAATTGTAATAACTAATGTGCTTCAATATAATAGCTAATGTTTAAAGAAAAAACAATATACCCAGTCTTCTGATCTACATTCTCTAAGAATCAACTTTTGATTTCTTTTTGATTCAAATGAAACAATTTTTTTTAATATTATGATCTATATGATAATATAAGAATCAAATATGATTTTTTTTATAAAATGAAAACTAGTTAAAAATCCATTCACGTTTCTATTCAGAACTGCTGATATGGAACCAATTAGTTTCAAATAACACTAGTAACAGCTCTTATCGGCTGGTATGCAATTTATTCACACATTTTGTGCCTTTTATGCCACAACTAATGTTTGAAATTGTTTTTATATCTGAAGTTGAGCTTGGCCTTGCAATGGAGTATTGCAGCAATGTTTATAATATCCATTGTTATAAAAATAAGTATTAAGCTTATATAAAAAAAATTAAGTAATATTTATTTTATTTAAGCCCTTTAATATAAATGAAAATAACATGCAATTTGTCTTTAATTAAAAGCAAAAGTAATTTAGTTTATAAAATACAAATTAGGTTTTTCATTTGAAAAAAAAAATAAAGGAGACTTGGTTTTTTTTATTAAATGCAATAAATTATTGATTTCTATAAAAAATCTCTATTTTCACTGTTCTCTTTTATATCTTTTAACACCTCACGGTTAAATTCTAAGAAATTAATTGTTAACCAAGCCACCTGTGGCTCCGCATGCTTTGAAAGGTTAAAATACTTCCATTGCTTACTGTTAGACCACCTATATATACCATATTGTAATATTAACATATTAGGCATAAACATGTTTTTACTATTTCGATTGTTTATTTTCTTTACACATTTATGGTACTTATATGTTTAAGCATTGGCTTGTTTAATTTTGAATAATGTTTAATATATATTTTTAAAAAGAATATACCCATATATAGATTGCATAATACCCATTACCTTCGTAAAAGTTGACTTGTCAGGGTCAACTGAAAAAAAAAATTATCCATGCCAAACTTATACTTCCAGCTGCGTCAAGGCCAATCCTACTGTACAGACAATGAGTGTCTCGATGAACTACCAGGGTTGCCTCCAGCAAGTTCAGCGGGGAACAGCTTTTTAATGATGTTCCTCATGATGGTGCTAGCAGTGGCCATGTATATGATGCGCCCGCGACGCAATCAAATACAAGATGCCAAGCCTGTGCCTAATTCTCAGGTAATATGCCTAATACATTATGTTACTATTAACTTGCCCCACACTTTTTATGCACATTTATTGTTTTTCTATAATCTACTAGCAGAACCCGCGGCTTCGCTCGCGCTAAAACTAAAAAAAAAAACTAGAAAAGTAGATTCATACAAACTTTCATCCTCTATTTTACCCCCTTATAGGATGAATTTCGAAAAATGTCAAAACACGTATTTATTTAATTTTATTGAAGAGCATTTATACCAAGTTTCAAGTAATTCTGATCTTAAATATTTTTTCGGATTGTATTATAAAGTCGGATATCCGGGGGAATTAGGTAAACTTCCGCGGTAAAAAGTAGCCTATGTCACTCTCCAGCCCTCCAACTATCTCTACACAAAAAATCACACCAACCCGTCACTCCGTTTTGACGTGAAAGAAGGACAAACAAACACACTTTCACATTAAAATATTAGTATGGACTTATATCTCTCAGTAACTAGCTGCTATTTAGTATAGGAACTTTAAAATATCACTGTTTATAGTTATTTTATATTACAAATTAACATATTTTATAATAAATGTTATGTAATTATTATATTACAATTTACATCGTAATAAATAACTCATCTGAGCAATTACAATGAAGTTAATAGTTTGAAATATGTATGAGAAAGCACTTTTAGTGATATTAATAACTAGCAACTCACCCTCCCTCTGCTCGGCTTCGTCCCTAGTTACGTTTCAAAGTTTAGTATAGATTTCTCAGAGATGAAATATTTTCCCGCAGTAAAAAGTATCCCATATGTTGCCCCGGATAACCAGCTATCTTCATACCAAATTTCATCAAAATCTGTCCAGTAGTTTTCTCGTGATGCGTTTCCAGACAGGCAGACAAAAATTCTAAAAACCATAGATTCGGCCTCTGTATCGATAACAATGTTTATTTCAATAACATTTTACAAAAAATATTTAATATACAGACAGATTTGACTCAGTTAGAATTTTATTATATGTATAGACTTGCCTAGAATAAATGATAAAAGAAAATTATAAAAGATCCATGTCCAACGAGATTGTGGTCTTGTTGGCCATCCATACTAAAAATAGATAGCATAGATCCGACTTCAGAATATATTTTCAACTAGCATTGCCCGCGGCTCCGTCCGCGTTAGGATGACCAAAAATCAAATTCTTAGGTTTTACATATTAGTATACTCTTACATTACAGTTTTTATATTTTTTCTCAGAAATGAGACATTTTCCCGCGGTAATAAGTATCCTATATGTTGACCCGGATAATCAGCTATCACCATACCAAACTTCATTAAAATCTCTCCAGTGATTTTTCCGTGATGCGTTAACAGACAGACAAAACTTCTAAAAACTATAAATTCGGCCTCTGTATCGATAACAATGTATATTTCAATAAGATTTTCCAAAAAATATTTAATGTACAGATTCTACTTAGTTACAATTTTATTATATGTATAGATTAAATCAATAGTAACCATTCCAAACGTACAAAAAAATGATTATAATATCAGTATGGAACATTCCATTACGATATAGTCTCCTTCACATCACCTACTAGCCATTCTGTAGTGAAGGTGTTGTTTGTTTTAGTTTATTTTCCTTATTATAAAGTCTATAGTTGTACACAGTAAAAGTATAATTGTAAATTATATTCCTTGTACAGTATTCGACTTGGGTTCGTTCTATGGACGATTAACAAAATTATCTTCAACAATTAAATTTCAAGTTTCTTTACAATTATTGTATGATAAATAATTCTTAATGCAACTACTTTTTTTTTAATGTTTTTCGTGTTGTAGGTGTAGAATAATACACATCCTTCTATAACTTTGTCTCAATCTGTAAGAATCCAGGGCCGTACTCTAAATAACTCATAATCGCTACCCTTGAATATTTAAAAAAAAATACAAAATGCTATGTAAAACAGCTAAAAATAGTTGTTATGGCGAAAACCTATCAGAACAGTATGTGGAAATGTTTTGTTTTTTTTTTTACCACGCCATGTTAGACCGAGTATTTTACTATTTAAAACGGAATTTGAGAAAAACAAATGAGATAAGAGAATTATTTATCCAATGGCATCACTATTAAATATTATTTACCTAAATAACATCCTACAATATAGCATTAAGTACTTAGTTATTGTTAGTATGTTCATTATAATGTATCCGGGCCACGTAATATCGGAACTGAACAATTTCCCATAATAATAGTGGGATTATTTATTTAATTAAAAACATATTGCCAAAGTGTAAATGCACAAGTCTTAAGAAATCCAGTCAATGATTTTTTTTTTCTTATGAGTAATGGTACGCTCGGACTTTACCGAGTTTTCAAAATGATATTTAGCATTAGACTTGACTAACATTTGACGAGAATCACTTCATATAGTAATGAAATAAAAAATAGTACCCAAATATGTACTCGTGTCCGCCAACCCGCACTCGGCCAGCGTGGTGGACTATTACGACCTGATCCCGCTCGTATTGAAGGGAAGCCCAACCCCAGCTGTGGGACGTTATAAAGGGCTGAATATTTGTATCTAGGTATATGCCAATGTGTCCTTTTTTTAATTTATAAAGAATATAAACAAAGAAACACTTTTTCTTTTTTTATGTGCGAATACAAACACCACAAACTTTGTCCTTGTTACTGTTGTGCCTTTTTATGAGCATTCGTTTTATTTTTTGTGTATATTTCCTTTTAAAAATTAAGGTTATAATCTCGCATTCTTCAATAATTAAGGAGTCTTATAAAGTTTTAGAGTTCGAATTAGATTAGCCTTCATGGAGCTGTAAGTTACATTAAAAAATAAACACTTTTACATATATTATAATGAGTAAACCCTCGCTATGCTGCAAGTGGACTCGAATACCAGTAGTAAAAATAATAATTAGGATATCTAACAAGCTATTGTTACCGTCTCGGGGAGACTTAAAACGTGTGTATGTACTTATGTACGCACGTGAGAAATTATACTTCTTTGACGTAACAGAACAAAAATAGCTAAAGATTTCATCCCGTATGTCACAACTCTATTTGTAAAAACAATGCAGCTAACTTCATTATGTCACTTTTTGGCTATCGATGGACGCTTTCATCGTAAAAATTTTACTCTCATTTTTTTTTCAAACGTCCCAAAAGAAGTATAACTTCAAAAACATGGAACAATTTTGCTAGCATCTCAGCATTAGTGGTAGTTGCGTCGATAAATATAGCATGTATAAATCGAAGATATAAACTACACATGTCCATAACGAATTTCATTTAAATACGTTGAACCGTGATAGCATGGAGAAGTATTAAATAAAGTTAGTTACAGACGCATTTCGCGTGTATAATATTAGTGTTTTAAGATGAATAAAACACTAAAAAGAAAAACAAAAACCGAAAAAAAAAATGACGTCTTCCTGACTGATTTGGGCTACGCCAGCCAATTTTACTGAGACTAGCCAACTGCGCAGGCGATATTATAGTGCACAAGTGTACGCGCTGACACAACGTGCACTCTCTATTCCTGTCACACAAATTCTGATGGGACGATAGTTCGACACAACCGGTGAAAGTTAAGACCTGCGTCTTTACATCCACAGCTTTACGTGCAAGCTAAAGCAAGGGGGTGACACCAACTTCGGGCTATTTCAGAGACTTTCTCAACAAAAAGACTCAATAACAGGATCTCCAGATGTACAGCCGTACATGCTAGCCACTACATTACAGAGGCAGCTAAAGAAATGGGCACCGGCCTCCCTTCAATACGAGAGGGGTCAGGTCCTAAAGTCAAATAGAGGCCTTAAAAATAAATAAATAATATATATGTATACTAACTGAAATTAGGCGTAATCACAATATAATGCATGCTAATAACACGTGTAATGAACGTAATTGTGTTATCGACTTAATGTGGGCGAAGTGAGCACAGCACTATCTGTAATTTACAAATAATATAGTATTATGGTGAATCATTTGTTTTTAATTCGTTTTAATAATCACATCGCACTAATTGGACTATTTTGTCGGTTCTTAAGTAGGTATGTAATATTTAAATTGTTCTTAGACGAAAGTTAAAATTAATTAATAAATATTTAAGTGTGTTTGTGTCAAAATAATGCTTATGAAAGTATATACGGTACATATAAGAAAAACATTTTTTTTGTATGTCTGTTTGTTTCGGCTAATCTCCGAAACCTTCCTTTAGAAAAAGATCCTTTAGAAAAAGAATTAGGATTCCGATAAAATAATTAAAACGTATGTACGTACAGACGCACCCGAGCGAAGCTAGTGTAAGTCGCTAAGTCTATACATATAATAAAATTCTAATTAAGTCGAATCTGTACATTGAATATTTTTTGGGAAATCTTATTGAAATAGACATTGTCTGCCTGTTACCGCATCACGGAAAAACCACTGGAGGGATTTTGATGAAATTTGGCATGATGATAGCTCGTTATCCAAATCAACTTATAGGATACTTTTTACCGCAGGAAAATATCTCATTTCTGAGAAAAAATACAAAATGTGCATAGTAAGAGTATACTAATATGTAATACCTAAGAATTTGGTTTTTGGTCATCTGAACGCGGGCGGAGCCGCGGGCAATGCTAGTATACTATAAACTTGGTCTTACTCAATGCTTTTATAAAAATCAAGACCAACAGACTACACAATACAGGTTAACTCACCTTGGACTCTTTACCACATTACTCTACATTATATAATTTATATATACAGTTAGATAATTATGTGCATAATATTCAATTGTTATTTAACAAAACCTTCTAAATGACAATATCGTTATGCGACGTTGTATTTGAATGAAGTTTGTTTTATTCCAATCTAGTAAACTATTTACTTTTTTTTTTATTTTAGTCATAAACATGGCTTCAAACAAAACTTATATAAATATGCTTAGAATTTATTTTTTTATTCCCTTATATACATGTAAAAAGTTGGCTAGCTTTCTATCTTTGTTTCTAATTTAATGACGTCATATATAAATGCTGTGCTCATAGATTTAAGTGGACAATTGCCAATTAACTTTTGTTATCTTGTCAAGTGACAATCTAACAATAATATTAATCGAAAAACACATGCCCACCTGTTTATAAGTAGGTACATACAATATACATATATATAAATAATAAATAAATGAATATGTTGAGACATTAACACACTGCATCTACTTCCATGGTAAGCTACGAGCCTTGTGTTATGGATACCAGATAGTTGATACACTACACATATATAACTTTAAATATACATATTTTACATATAAACAGCCATGGCTGGAGTACAAACATCGTGGTCACCACACAAATGAATGCCCCCAGTGGGACTCTAACCCGCGGCCGTTGGCACAGCAAATAGGATCACTACAAACTGACCCAAGCGTTATAAGTAATAAGGATAAGAAAACATTTATCCTTACTATTTTAATGACTAATATTGTCCATGCAAGTTTATTTAATTGTTATTTTATTAGCAGGATCGTGATGGCGCACCACCAACGCCTCCAAGAATTTAAACATGAAAGAAAATGGAGGTTCTGTAAAGGTTCAACAAAGAGAAAACTTGTTTTCGATATGTATAAACTGCATAACTTATAAACAATAACTAACGATTTTAAGTATAGCGTTATAAGGTATATATTATAAGACATTATTTGGATATTAATAGTTGAACTCGAGTGTTCCTCCGTTATTTTGACGATAGGTAAGAATCTGAAATTATGCAAAATAAATCATTCCAATAAACAATGTCGACTCATGTTATTTAATTGTAGAATTTTTAATTCAAAACACTTTACGTGCACTTACTTTGATACTTTGTATTTCGGTGCTATATATAATTTATTTATGAATTCGCCAAAGGAATTAAAAATTCGATTTTTTAATAAAATTGCTGATTTTTAACACCAATTTTATTCACAATAATTGTGTAAGTGTATTTGATTATGGCAATACTCAGATCTGACTCTTGAATAAATATATTTTTCATTTATCTGTTTCAATTTATTTATATTTAATATTTTACTTTTATTTTTAAATATTATGTAATAATTAAATAAAATCTTTAAATATCTGAACATATTTTTTTTTCTATATATGGCTGTATGTCAGACCAAGCTTGTGATATGTCAGTAGTTTTAATTTTTTTTTTGGGTTGGGATTTATCAGTTAATATTATTATTAGAATAACTTTGCTTTCACAATTATAATGGCAATACCAATCGAGATTGTTAATATATGCAAAAAATAAATGACAACATGTGACTCTTATTAAGTGTTTTATTTTTTACCTTTTCCATAATAAGTCAAAACTTTCTCGTAAACTGAGCATTGTCAAAAGATATGTACTTTACAATTATTTAATATATTGGTAAGAGACTTGCACATATACAAAATTGTATTTAAATTTTCAAGTTTCTTTACAAAAAAATTTTTTTAAATAAATATTTTTGTCAACAAGCAAGCAATACTAACTTCGACCAGTAAAGTGATTATTTCGTCTATATGGGGAGCTTGCGCGAAATGTAGAGGGCAGCACTATTGTCCCCCTAGAGTTTTATTTCCGAAGATAGTGGGATCAAAACATTCATTTGTAAACACAGAATATTTATAAAAATGGAAAATATAATAAAATATGGATTTCAACCCTTTTCACAGTGAGAAAAATATTCAAGCCCAACCATATTTATGGTGTAGTAGAAAAAAGTAATAAAATTGAAACTGTCTTAACCGCAAAAGTTGACCACAAAACAAATGTCTCAAATGTTTATGATACGAAAATTATGATAGGTATAAAAAATTTACTTCAAAAATACTTAGTGTAATCAAATTAAAAACAAAAAAAACACCATTTTTTTTCTAGATATCGATCGACATTATTAAAAATGATCCCAATAAATTCAAGCGTTTGCCACTAGTTGCCTAAAAAGTCCAACGCAAGGGCCCTATAATGTTTATCTATCGTACAATAGATAAGTAATCATATTAGGACTTAAATCATGCCAAAATTTGAAAATAAGCAGGTGTGAAAAAATAAAAAGTATATTTAAAATTAAAAGTAGGTACTTTATTATGTACACATATTTATATAACTAATGATAGGTTTTATTATTGCCTAACGTTTAAAATATAGAACTTTTTCATATTTAAAAAAAAAACAATTTTGACCTTACACATATTATGTACTTGATAAAAAAATATATTTTAGTAGATTTTTTTCTACTACTTTTTTTAAAACTAATGAACTTGAACATTATTTTTTATTTCACAAATTAAAAACTAAGTTTCAAAAATTCTACTCTATCTACAACTTTCACGCCATATTACCTATATATGTGAATTTTTTAACTCTTCAGTCGTACAAAAGCTACAAAATCTTTATATATAAAACCTATATTTATAAATGTGTTTCTGAACTATTTACATTCGCATCGAATTTTAAATTTCATGATTTCTAAAGGGCATTGAGGTGAGGTGAGTAAAAAAAAACTATTAGCCCTGAAACTCTCGTCATAATAAACATTGTCATATTATTTTTTCATATACAACCTTACCAATTGACAGCTATATAAAATAATACTAAATATATACATAACAAATATATATGTTTATTCCCCACCAACTCTACCGACGGACGCTGTCATGTCCCAATACATTTGATACAAACAATCAGTGAGTTTAATCCAAATTTCCCAATTTTCTGCACAACTTCACCACTTTCTTTCCCCTGAAGACCTTATTTGGACTTTAAAAAACATTTAAAAAAAAACAAAAATTAAACAAATCGGTTCAGGGAGCTCTCAAGTGATTCGCTGACCAACAAACAGCATATCATTTTATTTATATGGATAGGCAAATAAAACAAACTTAAAACTCTAAAAATATTAGCATTGACAGCCCCAAATACAACTATAAATTACATCTAAACTGTCCAGTCCTGAGTATTATATCTAACTTTCTAACGTCAAAAGTAGTCGCCATCTTGTGTCAAATTACACAGCGCATACTTATTCTATGAACAAAAAACTATCGTCGTTGTTTGAATTATGTTAAATTCAAATTCCTACTCAAAAACAGTCCGAATATACACTATAAGACAAAAACTTACACCACCTTTAAAAGGTGGGTGTATTTAATCATGATTCGTGAATCCTATCCACTTCAGTTTTAACTTTTTTGAGCAATGTACTTATCTTTTTGAATTTGCCTGTTGAATTTGGAAGGTTCTCAAAGTTGATGACGTCACAAATATCTTTGGAAAACTTATCCTCACTTGGCAACTTTAAATATGGCGACGCGACATTTATTACTGGAGTACCGTATTCAGTTATTTTAACTTTACCACTACTTTTAAGACTTGAAATTTTTGTGTCCGATTCTTCTTTGAGTTCAGATTCATTTTGATTGTCCAAATTTCCCTCATTTTGAATTAAATTCGTTTTATTATCCGTATTCTCATCTTTGTTTATTATATCCTTTACATCCGTTTCCTTTTCACATTCATCTGGTTTATTTATATTTTCATTATCTGTACACTCTTCATTTGCAGTTTTGTTATCATCATCCTTTATAACTTCTTGGTTTAATTTAGAATCTTTCTCTTTTTGTTCTTTTTCAGCTATATCTAGCAGTGCCTCTATTTCTTCAATATCAGTTGTTTCGTCTTGCGGGTCTGCCGTGTCTGATATGTTTATAACGGATATTTCACTCTCAGCGCCATCTTTGAGTGCACTTAAGAGTAATCTTTTCTTTTCTTCCAAGTCGTCTAAGGTCGGACTGTTACGACTGCTGTTTAGCGAAGTGGTCTAAAAAATTAAGAACAATGCATTAATTTTAATAATGTAATAGTTTTATTGGAAATTAATAGTTAGTGGTAATAGTAAAAATTATTCAAATGTAAGAATAGGTTCAAAAGTACTTGTACAAGTTTATTGGAATAAAGTTAAAATTGATTTTAACATAATAACAAAGGCGGTTTAACTATCGTGGTATAGTATCTAATATATTTAAACGAGCAATTCTTGTATATATATAATCTGAATCTCGGAAACGGCTCCAACTTGAAATTTAGTATACAAGGGGTTTAGGGGGCGATAAATCCATCTAGATTAGTCTTATGTCTGGGAAAACGCGTGTTTTCGAATTTTCATGCGGTTTTCATTTGCATTATTCCACGAAAAATATGGTCGGTAATTTGCACGCTCGGGTATAAGCATCGTGGTCAAGCGGCCAAGGTGCAAGATCTACAATCACAGGTGTCCAGGTTCGAATCTCGATCGCATACAAAGTTTTTACTTTTTTTTAAAATATTTATTCAAGTTTTTTTTTTAATGAAAATTGTACTTTTCAACCAAAAACTCCGAGCGAAGCTCGGTGGCCCAGGTACTACGTAATAAAAGACGTATAGCTTTCAATAAAATAATGAGTACTTTCATATTATATTTACGCGAATATGCGACATTTTAAATAAAACTACGTTTTCGAGTTTTTTAGCGGATTTGCTTTGATATTTTTTTGTTCCCGATATTGAAATTATAAAAAAATGTTCAAATTAAAATTAACAAATATTGTAATTAATTTGGTGCTATTTTTGTATCTTTTAAAAACATTGTACAATTTTATGGGTAGATAACGTCTGTATATACCGTAAATTCGAATCTACGATTTCACGAAAAAGTCCGCGATAACAAATGTGTCTATCTCTTAACGCACACTCACAATAACTATTTTTATCTATTGACAATATACCTACTCACCCCATATTAAATAATAGGTATATAGTAATAAAACAGGGTTCATGTTTTATGACCATGGACTGAATTAAAAATCAATCTATACTAATATTATAAAGAGGTAAAGTTTGTGAGTGTGTGACGTTGTAGGGGGTAATCTATGGATCTACTGAACCGATTTAGATGAAATTTGGTAAGAAGACAGTTTGAGACCCTGGGAAGGACAGGATACTTTTTATCCCAGAAATCATTCCTTAAGGGGGTGAAAGTGGGGATGAAAGTTTGTATGGGGAATCAACCTAGGGACGAACCCGAACGAACCATAAAATAAACTTTTAACTTACATCATAATCCTCATCAATAGTAATAAACCCGTCCTCGGGTTCCGGGATATCAGGAACATGTAGCACTTCTATTACTTCTAAATCGTTGTCTAAATCACTTTTATTCACTGTAACATCATCATTATTGTCTTTTGAATCTTTTGCTTTACTTTCTTTAGGTGAAGAAGATTTAATTTGATTAATTTTTTTAGTTGTGTGTTTTTTGGGTGTGTCCGGGGGTGTTCCTTCAGGAGGCGGTGGTGGGGGCGGGGGCGGCGGTGGCGGCGCTTCGTCTGGTAATGGCGGGACTGATGGGAACTCCACTATTTCTGAAATATTTTTAATTAATTACATACTTTATACATCTACACTAATATTATCTATCGCCAAATTCAAAAGAAATTATTGTTAAAGAACGTTTGTGTGCTAAAGGCTACAATTTATACTATATATAATAATACTAATAATACAATTACAATAACATACTCAAACTGAAGATGTTTAGATTTACAAAGATGGAGTCCACCAAAATAAATGTAAAAGTCAAAAATAGTAGGATGATTAGCTGTTTATGCTAATATTCTCAACTTCTTTAAGGAAAATTTTATATACGCATTAATTAAATTACTATACCTATAATTTTTTGACATAAGATATGAATAATAACAATAATACTATATTCTATTGATTTTTTTAAATTATTTATTTTCTTTTCCTTGAAAGAGAAATAGCATAATCTTAGTTTATTTAATTTTGTTTCTTTGTGAGAATAAAATAACTTTAAAACTTGGTAAAAATATTATTAAAAAAAAATAAACCTTATAAATTATCCTATTCCTGATACTCTATATTCATCTCATTCTCTCTTATTCTTTCTCTCATAGTTTAATTTTCTGAAGTTTCACTTCTACCTTATGTGAATTGCACAAACAACAATTTTTTTAAAAGAATGGTATATCTATATTTACATATAAGGTGATTTTGTAGGCAGCGTAATTATTTAATAAAATAGTATATTTGCTAAAGTTTTATTATAAATGAATCTTTACGAACCATCTCCACTATCTAATTCCATTTCCATTTGCCCATCGGCTGCAGAACTATTGTTAGCGGGGAAAAACATGAGCTTTTTTCGTTTATAAGCTTTCACTGCATTAGGGGCTAGTGCTTGTAACATCAACATCTTGCTGTCAGCTTCAGACATAGGTGGATAACCCATTAGATGAGCTTCCTAGAAAAAATTATATATAAGATTAAAAAAAATCAGACAAGTGCTAGTCTGATTGATTCTCATACCAAGTGTTCCGAGGCATGAAACATTAAATTAAGTTTATAGTCGCAAGTAGTTATTAAATTATGATTTTGATTGCGTTGACTTAGAAGTTTGTTTTTTTCACAGCTTCAAGGAATTACAGACCTGAGCATTTGATATTAATTTCAATTTGATACCTCCACGCGTTCCTGAGATAAATGATTTTGAAGACAGACAGACAGACAAAAAAATGATCCTATAAGGATTTCTTTTGAGGTATAGAACCCTACAAATGGATAGAATACATCTTGATCTGCACATCTTGATGTGCCTAATTTTTTCGGATGTCTTATTACACTGATCTAAACAAAAAATCTATTTCCAACATTATTTTAATTCATGTAATATGAAAGACTATTTAGAACAACATTACTTCACGTAAATTGAACGACGTTTTGCTCACTTTGTAGTGACTACTTGCTGTGCCAACAGTCGCGGGTTTGAGTTCCGCTGGCATACATTTGTGTGATGATCACGAATATTTGTACTCAAGTCATGGCTGTTTATATTTATAATATGCATGTATATAAAGTTATATATGTGTAGTGTATCAACTATCTAGTATCCATAACACAAGCCTTGTACCATGGAACTAGATGATGCTGTGTGTTAATGTCTCAACATATTATTTTATTTTAATTATATTTATACGTACATCTATATATCGTGAACTGGCGGGAACATTAAAACCAGGAAAGTCTAGAATCTTCTTTATATCAAACTTATCCTTAGAACCTGGCTCACAAACTTCGCCATCCTCTTCCTCAGGATCTAAAATTGCACTGCCCTGTGATAAAGATATCAGATAATATTAGACAATAATATTAGATATTCATGTCATTAGTTATGTATTAAATAAAGAGTTTTAAAAACTTCTTTATTCGTCTAGTGGCTACAATTAACGGCTCCAGAACTTCTGGGTTCAAGTCCCGGGTCAGGCCAAGTTATGTATTGTGCTATAATATTTTCTGCACACATGGCTAGTCTCAGTGAAATTCAGGATTATTTATGCAAAAGACTAAAACTATATTATTTTGAAAGATTTATGCATGTAGAATGTAAATATATGTAAAACTAAATTTTTTATAGTAGCGAAGCTGATATACTTTCTTATATCACATGAGTTATGTAAATTTATAAATTTCAACACAAACACTGGACAAAATTGTGTGTATATGGAATGTGGTTACATAATTATTAATTATACAGTTCGACACAAAATTTTACACACGACATAATGACGTTAAAATAAGCAACATCAACCTAATGAAAACAGTAATTATTAGTAAAAAAATTAAAAAAAAATGGAATTAAAAAAAAATATAACAGGAAATATTTGCACCTCACTTCCCTAAGCCCATACAGTGCCAAAGCTTGGGCACTTGCAATATTTTTATTAAATTACTGAGGGTCAAGGTAAGCCCTAAGCCTCGCTTCACTCAGGTGCGTTCCTAGGTATGTTTTAATTATTTTGAGTGGAACCCTAATTCTTTTTCTTAAAAAAAATAGCCTAAGTTACTCCTTATAACATCCCTATAAATATAATATATCCATAAAAGTCCGTTCCGGAGATTAGACGAAACAGATAGCCAAAAATTGTTTCTCTTAACAAGTACCATATATAATAATACCATATATAATTACATATGCATTTAGTAAAAAGTTGTTGTTTTGACATTACAAACAGAAACTTCAATTTTATTTATCTATATAAATAAACGCAGTATATTCTAAGTTATCAGAAAACTTTATCTTACACATATAGCTATTAATAGAAAATTACTAACCTCTGTAAAACTTTCATATCTAATATTTTAAAAGATTTTTTATTGTTGTCTCTAAAAACTTCGGATGCCTCAGAATTTCACATATTTATATATTTAATATTTATTTAATCCTCTAATTTTAAAACATGCAAATTATTTACACATAATTTAGAACAAAATAGTCTATATTTTTGGCTAATAATTTAAAAAATGAACATATTCTTACTGAAGCATCAAACAATCTTATCCCAGAATGTGATATACGAGCTTCCTCTAACCATCCCGGTGGATAGCCCAATAGCCTCATTTTATAGATATGCGGTGGTAATTCATATCTTTCAAGTCCTAAAGCATTTCTTAATGATGCTGAAATTCTGCCTGGTACTAAATGACCATATTTTTGATCATCTTCAACATGATATCTCCTGTAAATTAAATATTTCATTGTTTAACATTTATATTATTAGCGACTCACCCTCGCTTCGCTTCGGGTTCGTCCCTAGACAGAAACAATCTATCCTACTGAAACCATACATTTTTTCACAATAAAAAGTAACCTTATATGTATTCCAGACTATAATCTATCTCTGTGCCAAATTTCATCCAGAACCGTTCAGCTGTTCTGGAGTGAAAGAGTGACAAACATCCATCGTCACAAACTTTCACATTTATAATTACGTGTCTGGATTTATTTTATGTTTATGGAAAAATATATTTTTTTAATATATTTAGTACATATTGCATATTATATATATTTTACAAACCCTAATTTAGGCAGAGCTTTTCTCTTCTCTGCTATTCTGTAATTATCTCTTGGCAGGTGACATTCTCTCAAAGAGTGCTCTCCGTCACAATTAAAGCAAGTCATTTTGCTACGTACCGCTGGTGGTAAACTATCTTCTTTTTTTGGTGAGTTTGAAATTACACAAGATGCCTGGAAGTAATTAAAAATACATTACACAACATAATGTTAATGTCTTGTGAATATTATAAATATTTGACAAGACTAACTAATTGTTAAATTATTTTTGTTGCAATACAACATCTTACTTTATTATACACCGGTATCTCTATCTGTGTATTATCACAAAGAGCTGTATCCATAAAAAATAAATTGTCGTCATCTGTAGTATCTCCTGTCTCGCCATTATCATAGTTATCATCATCTATATCCTCAGGCCAAATATCAAATTCAATGTCAGTATCATCCACTCTTGATTTGCTAGTATTTTGAGATTTCAAAAGATTCAGGAGAAATTCTTTTACTTGTTTTTTATAAATATGAGCCAACTGGATGTCTCTAAAACGCACTGTCACTAAAGGTGTCCTATTTTCACAACCAACAACACATAAATCACCGTTAGCTGCTGGCGAGTCAACATCTATATCTTCATCAATTAATATCGTTTCTGAGACATGTTTATTATGTCCTTCACGTTTTTCGATATTAAAATTTGAAATTTGGAAATTATTACTTTGCTTTTTCTCATCAGGATTTTTTTTCATTAATGTTGTTCCCGATTCAGTTTTCCCTCCGTTTTTACATTGAAGTTTTTCCGTCGTAATTTTCTCAGAACTATCAATATTTACTACTTCATGATTTCTTGATACATTTTCATATTTCGTCTTAATCGGTCTTCTAACGTTTTCAGGTGTAAAGCGTCTTATTTTAGATTCCTTTCCTTCGTCGTCGCTGCTTATTTCAATATCAGAATTATCTAATTCGTAAATGATATCATTTACTCCTGCTTTTCTTTTTGCCATTTTAATAATAATAATATAAAATATTCAAACGACTTAAATTGAATACAATAACAGTATTAAACATAATTTTTAGAGATATTTTAAGCACAAAATTTTACTTTATTTCTATTGTGAGTTGTGACAGTAATAATTAGTATTGCGATTTGAGTTGTATGTGCTCTGTGGAATCTACTAATGTCATATTATCATGATTCTGATTCGAGTACATTTACTATAATAGCTTTAGACACGGAAGATAATAATTGTTTTTTGTATAATATTTTATTTAATGTACATACAATATAATTTAAAATAAATCTATACAAAAGATTAATGGAGAAGAATTTTGCCTTTTTCTTCCGGCAGATGACGCGATCTCTATAGCTCTCAGTAGGTATATTGTAAAGCTCGAAGATGGATTTTTTTTTTCATTTTAATTAAAACTAGCATTGCCTGCGACTCCGCCCGCGTTCTGATGACCAAAAACCAAATTGTAAGGTTTTACATATTAGTATACTCTTACATTGCAGTTTTTGTATTTTTCTCAATTTGGTTTTCAGTCATCTGAACGCGGGCGGAGCCGCGGGCAATGATAGTACTATTATAAAAGTAAAGGTAGCCCAGTGCTCGCTCGCTTGGGAAACCGAGTGAAACGGGTTTAAGATCCGGGTCTCGCACTTCTGATATTTTCATATGCGAATTATTTCCAACATTATTACCACTTGTCTTACATGTCCTGCATGTCTGAAAGAACCTAGCATGTTCTCGAAAAAGAATATATATAATGTATGTGAAGTCCACGAACCTGTAAGTTTGGTCAGCTTGTTGGACTATGACCAAATCGCAGATCCCCCTTATAGTAAAGGAAGGCTCTTGTCTAGCAGTGGGACGTCAAAAAATGGGTTGAATACATATTATTTATTTTTTAACGGTTAAGTGACTATTCCTGTTTTTAACAATTAGAGTACTAAAGCGCATTATGCGGTATAATGCTAACTTCGCATGTTTCAACTACAGCAACGCTCCGCTCAATCGAGCATTTTGAAAAGTACTGTTTTTATTTGTCATCCATGAGTTTAGTGTTTTAGCGTGATGCGCGCAAGGATACCAACTCAATAACAGAAAATATTAGAAGTGTTTTTTCTTCAAGGTGGCATAGATCACAATTTTATTTACATTATCGTTATTAATATTTTTTACATTTTATTTACATAATTATATATTAATTAGATGTATATTATTATATATCTATACTAATATGATAAAGAGGTAGTTTGTGAGTTTATGACGTAGGGAGTAATCTCTGGATCTACTGAACCGATTTAGATGAAATTTGGTAAGAAGATAGTTTGAGACCCTGGGAAGGAAATAGGATAGTTTTATTCCGGGAATCATCACTTAAGGGGGTGAAAATGGGGATAAAATTTTGTAATTGGAAGCAAGCTAGGGACGAACCCGAGAGAAGCAAGGGTAAGTCGCAAGTTTATTATATAATTATTTTTTTTATTAATAAAAAGAGTTTTTAAATACATTAAGTCCATTTATAATATTTACGGTATGTATTATTTGAAATTATATACATATTAGTTATATTTTTTTCTTTCAACACTGAACCTAGTGCCCTCTGCTGGTGCACTTAAAAACTAATTCACGTTCCAATGTAGCATTAGCACACTTCGGCATTGTACGCCAAAGTACGGCATTATGCTCTGTAATTGGAAAACAGGGTTTATCTTTAGTGTTGTTTCATTTTACTTGTTCGAAGAAATCTTTTTTTTTCTATTATAGCTTATAGTTTTTCGAAGAAATCACTGAAAAGTTAAAGGTATCCTTATTTAGTCTGTGGCTAATTTACGGAAATTTGACATTTTATAAATAAATTGTCAAATTATATTATTTAGAGGTTATGATTTCTAAGAGGACCTTTATTAATCATGTCTTTATTAAAATTAATGCAAAACAATACAAAAAATATATTGATTAAGTACAATGAATCACAAGCTGTCCTTATTTCTTCTAGAAAATTAAGTATAGTACCTTCAGTATATGGTAAGACTAAGACTAATTATACCTACTTTTTCTGTAAAGTTTTGGATCGTTCATTACATTTATATTAATTTATATAGATGGAGAGAATCCGGCGCCGAAATTCTTCTCATCAGGTATTCAAATATTGCTAAAACGTTTAACTCGCCCTGATTTTGCTAAAGTGTTCCGTAAAAGGACCAATAGCAATGTACCAATTCTTAAAACACCAGTTTATAAGTTTTTAACTGATGAAGAGTTAAATATTGAACGAGAAAGAGCTAACAAAAGTGCAGATAGATTGCTTCAGATGCCACCAGTTGTTAAGGTAATTTTTTTCTTTTATTTCTCTTGATTACATTAGACACAAATATATTAATCATAAAATACTAACAAATTTTACTTTATTCGATATTGCTAAACGTTTATCCTTACATTTTTATTTATTTGTACTTTATGCTAACAGGTCATCTTATTACTTATTAGCATTTTTAAATCTATTTGACACTCATAAAATAGAACAATATTATAAAAGCTACAGTAAAATATTAAGTAATTTAAGTAATAATAAAAATGAATAAATACATAATGGCGTATATATCAACTAGCAATGCCCGCGGCTCCGCCCACATTTAGATGACCAAAAGCCAAATTCTTATGTTTTACATATTAGTATAGTACTCTTACATTGCAGTTTTTGTATTTTTTCTCAGAAATGAGACATTTTCCTGCTGTAAAAACTATTGTATGTGTTGACCCAGATAACCATTTATCACCATACCAAATTTCATCTAAATCCCTCCAGTGGTTTTTCGGACAGTTTGACAGACAGACAAAAATTCTAAAAACTATTGATTCAGCCTCTGTATCGATAATAATGTCTATTCCAATAAGATTTTCCAAAAAATATTTAATGTACAGATTCAGCTTAGTTACAAATTACAATTTTATTATATGTATAGATTAAAGACTATTAATGAAGTATCATATAATACATAAATTAATGTTCAATCCACTTTTTTATTATAATAATATGAAATAAAAATAACTTTAAGTGAAATAAGTAATTGTAGGATTGATTAAGTGTTTAATTCCTTATACTAATAATTAAAGCTTTTCAGATTCATGAACCCATAGTTGATGTTTTATCCAAAGATCCAGCATTGGTTGGATATGATTCAGCAAGATATTTATTTACAGATATTACTTTCGGTGTTGACAATGAACACAGAATAATTGTAGAAAGGTAAATTAAATAAATGTTACACGAGTTCCTATTTTTTCTAAACTAAAGAAATATATGTAATTATATAAATTATATTCTTTTAGAGACCCAGATGGGACATTACGTAGTTGTGATCACGATGATAGAAAAAGGCTTAATCAGGTCTGTAAAAGTCATCTAAGCTTCTGAATTAAAACAATATTTTATCATGTTATTAAAAAATAATAAATAAAAAAATATTCAATAATTCCAGATATACTTCCCTATGCAAGGTCGTAAAATAAAGGACCCGTTGATATTCTCAGATGAAGAAAAATTCCACAGCCTGCTTGACCGTTACAAGTATGAATATGTTTTAGACAGAACTTGCGTCCAATATGAGCCAGATGAGCCTCAGTATCAGAAGCTAACAAGTATAACATACCAGCATGTTGATATGAATACACAGTTTAATTTATTAAGGTATGTTCAACATCCAATTTTATTTAAAATTAGCAAATCACCCTCGGTTCATTTCGGGTTTGTATGTATAAAAAACAAAAACAAATCCATCCCACGGGAACGGTTAAAAGCCGGAAAATGGTTTTTGATGAATTAAGGTTCCATGAATGAAATTACCATTGTATTGAAGCAGTTGTTAAAATAAGCTTTTGTGCGTTTACATATTAAGACGAATCTTTGCTAATGTTGAATTGCGTAATAGAAGGATACATTTACTTTTCTTTCTTTAGAATGAATAAACCAGTTTGTTTCGGTATCAAAACCTAAATCTAAACTTTCTCTAACAATAGCTGTTAACTATTATTATTTCGGTTTACTAAACCGTTTGTTTTTATTAACTGTTCAAAGAACAAGCTCTTATCAAAATTAAACGTTTTTTTTAACTGGTCCCGAGCCTTGCATCAAAATTACAGACAAGATTTAGCAATCGGGCACAAATAGATTAAATATAAAGTCATAAACAGTAATAAAAAAAGTATAATAATTTATACAATGTACTATTAAGAATTCCATAACCAAAAAGCTAATAAGTTAGATTCTTTATATTATAATATATTTTGTTATTTATTCCAGATCTACCCGTCACTTTGGGCCACTCGCTTTCTACCTCACGTGGCACCACAGTATGGATAATCTTATGTTAGAGTTGGTGCAGAGTGGGGCCATACGTGAGGCTGTGTTGTTGATGGCTCTGCGACACGGGATACACAAAGACCTGGCTAATGGGCAAGAAAGTGATGATTTAGTTGCACAAGTAAGATAATTGTTTCATTTTAATTTATTTTATATAAGCATTTGCCCATGATTCCGTTCGTGTCCATCCCTCATAGTAAGTAAGTATTTCTATTGCTACTATACAAATAATAACAAATAATAAAAATACAAATAACAAATAATAAAAATACAAGAGACATTTTTTAACGTTCATAATCAATCATCGAATTTAATAATCAAAATAAAAGTCATATTGATAAAAAGTACATACACGATAGTACGGAACCCTTCGTGTGCGAATGCGACTCGCACTTGACCGATTTTTAAAATAAAAGAATATTTGTTATACTGTTATATTATTAAACTTTATACTAATATTATAAAAGTTTAGATGTTTGAATGTTTATTACTCAATATGCCAGGACGGTTGAATGGATTTGAATGAAATTTGGCACAGAGATAGTCTAATTTATTCTAGATGCGAACCCGAGCGAAGCGAGGGTGAGCCCCTAGTTATATTATAAAACTAAAATATGCTTGTAACGCCAGTACCGAAGTAAATCGTTACTTATATTGCTTAATAAGCGGCCATTTCGAATCCCATTTAACTTTAACTTCACACATAGAACAGATATTAAGCAACATGGACTTTCTTTTCAGATCTTGCCGACACCAGTGCAACTAACAAAGCCAGAATACCTTTCAGAACAGGACATAGAACTAGACAATAAATGTATGGATTGTGTGGACAAGTATATAGAAAATAACTCGGCTATGAAGAGCCAGCAAGGGCTAGCTTTGCAGGGCTTCAGGGAGTACTACCAACAGCTAGTTGAACTTAGCAGGGGATTAAAGAAGGCTCATGGAACCGCTTGAATGTAGTTGTGTATTAAACGTTTAGATAAGTTAATATGTTTTTTTTTTCATATTTTACAAATTCTCATAGACCTTTTGCATTGGCATAGCTACACTACTGTTAGATACACATCTTGATTGAGGTGTTTGCTTTGGCCCTAACATATATAGAGACCTACATAATATATGGATACGTAAATATTTATCTATGGTACCTAACTTTATTCTATTCAATGAATAAGGATTTGGTATGATCAAATAAGAATGGGTCGGAGGAAAAACCAGTGGCTTTGTGCTGACTTATTAATGGTATTAGGATTCCAAACACAATATCATAATTTGAATTCTAATAAAGCATCCTTATTTAGAACTGCTTACATATTTAGATTCGTATTTCCTGATATTAATTGGGGCTGTTATTTATATATATTATTCACCACTACTCTGGTGTTCAATAGAAATAAAAAAAAAAATTATTGTTTTTTAGCATTTCTTATTCGAAATTACATTTAAACATATAAGCTGTATATATTTTTGTTAGCCATTTATAAAACTCTTTATTTAGATACCTCAATAGATAGATTTTGAGGAAAAATTTTTTTTTAAGACAACATGGCGCCAAAAAACGGCCATTTTAATTTTTATAATTTTGATATACCCACTGAATCTCACATTTACACAATTAAGACGAATCTAACAACAATCTTCAACAACCAACACATCTCAAGCTAAAATCCATCAAACCGTTTAGGCTAGTGTGCCAAAGAAATATAAATACATGCATAACCCTCGCTCTAGCGCACTCGGGTAAAAATACTTATAAGAGAAAAAATCCATGCCATAACGCATTCTATCTCGATTATAAGCATACTAGCATCTAGATTAATAATAAAGATTGTAATTGACTTACATTATAGTAATAGTTCTCTATAACATTATTATGTAAGTGACGAATACCTCATATACCCTCTCAATAAATGACACTGAGTATATAGCACTAACGACACCCTCGCTTCGCTAGGATGCGTCCCTGGACCCTGGATGTCTGATTGTAGTCAATATGTTACTCCAACTCATATCATCCATCTACATATGTATATAAATCCGTCTGGAGTATAAGCGTGAAAGACTAACAAACATATACCAGCACACATACGAACTTTTTCATTTATAGTTTCATATACAGGTAGCGCCATCTTTTGGCTAATTTTATTTTTAGTTATCACTTATCATAGTGTTTTTATACAACAGCTTTATTTAAACGCAAGTACGTCAACGGTCAATGTTAATTTTTAAAGACGGATGTTATGTGTCAACTAACATTTATAGTATTTTTACATTTATAATTTTTATTTCTAAATATTATGCCGTTTTATCAAAAACCGAAGACGTTTACACCTCTACTAATAGCTGCAGAACGGAAAGCAGTTAAAAATGGCGTACATCATGCAATATATACATCTAAATTTGACAAATATGTTGGAGATTGGAAGAAAGATTTAAAAGATGGTACTCAGACTTAAAGAATAAGACAGACAGAGCGTGAAAAACATAATGAAATTAATCTCAAATGGTCTATTTGTATGTTGAGAAATTCGAGAGGCAAAAATTTGTTTTAACTTTATTGTTTTATACGCTCTGTCTATCTTATTCTTTTAGAATTCAATCTCTGAGACGAAGCAAATTAATTATAAATTAATTGTAACTTGACATTTTGTCCAGATAATATTAGTTTTGCCATATATTTTCTGTAAAATACCGTGCGTATAAATACTGTACATCAAATTATACCATTCATAATAATAGTATGATTTATATCTACATAATATAATTTTTTTTTGGGAAATCTTATTAAAATAGTTATTATTAATTTATTATCGATACAGAAGCCGAATCTACAGTTTTTGGAATTATTGTGTCAGTCTGGGAACGTGTCACGAGAAAACCACTGGACAGATTTTCATTAAATTTGGTATGATGATAGTTGGTTATCCGGGTTAATTTATAGGATACTTTTTACTGCGGAAAAATATCTCATCTCTGAGAAATCTATACTAACCGTTTGACAGTACGTACGGACGAACCCGAGCGGAGCGTGGATGAGTCGCTAATCATTTTATAAAATTATAGCAATGCTATAGGTTCGCATTACATTTTGAACTTTAACTCAAAGAGAGAGTTTTGTGATTTTTAAACAAATTGAGTATTAATTATATCTTACTTTCATTATTTACTTATATTCAGGGTATTTTAATAGGTAAAGGATTATTTTTAACTATTACTGGAAAGTTATATGAAGGAGATTGGCAAAAAGGATTTAGGTGACTTATTTTTTTCTTTTTCAGATTATACATATATGTATTATATTTATAATATTATCCATTATTAACAAGTAGTATTCAGCTCATATTACCTAATTTTTACATTTAGAATTAATATTTTATAACTCTATTAATATTATGACTAATCGCTCCACGATCGCACACACGCTGGCGTTACAGTTAACAATAGATTTCTTAGAAATTTAATTAATTTCTTAGAAATTTACCTGGAGGTGCTAATAGTTAGGCTTTCGATTTTGCTTATATACTTTTATAAAACCACAATATTCTCAGAATTCAACAAGGTTCAACATACAACGTTCAAGCTCAACAAAACGTAGTCTTAATATTAGTTTTGCTTTAGAAAACCAAACAAATATGTGCCTATTCACGCTTATTTGTTGTACTAAGTATATAGATATCTACTAATTTTCATAGGCACGGGTTTGGAGTACTTAGCAAAAAACTGCCAAACGGCATATTTAGTCTCGAATACAGAGGAGATTGGGTGAGAGGCAAGCCAGAAGGTGCCGGCTGGAGGTACTTTGATAACGGAGATGTTTATTTTGGATTCTGGAAACGGGGTTATCGCGATGGCTATGGCAAAATGTGGTACAGTGACGGCACTCTTTATGTTGGATATTGGGAAAGAAATAAGAAACACGGTCTCGGCATGTTTGTACAAAGTGAGTCTTATCATAGCTAATCATATGCTAAAGTAATTTACGCATCCTAAAACTGAATAAGTCATGAAAATTGGTTCAATGATAAAATTTTTGAGAAGAAAAACGGAAATGGGCTACTTTTTCTATTACCGATTTAATATTATTTCTAAAGCGAATAATATAATTTATTTACAATAAAGAAAATTACAAATATACTTAATTATATATACAAAACAAATGTACACTTAGTTATTACTGTAATATTGTTATTTCTTATTACCGAGTACCAACTTAACAGTAGCTTGTGTTAATCTAAGTCAACCGGTAGGTACTAAGTTTCATCTAATTCCGTCATGCCGTTTCAGCGCAAAGGTGTTACAAACAAACACACATATACAAACTTTCGAATTTATATGATAGATATATTTACAATTGTAGTCCGAAGACGGCCATGACAGAGTAGTCAACTAGTCACGAAGACTACGTCCACTTGCAGATTTTTCTATGTATTCATTTAATTTGGAAGTAGCATATAATAAAATAAAATACGCCTTAATCATTGAAAAATAAATATAATATATAATTACATGAAATAATATGGAACTATTATAATTTGTTGGTTATTTAGTGAATTAGTTACCTATTTCTCGTTATGTGGTGGCTGCATCATTTTTACTCAACACAAAACGTTAGCGTTAACTTACAATCAATACTTTGTTAGTCCGTGTTGAAATTTCATGATATCTTTATACGTTACGATAAAATATATATATGTATATGTGTATATATATATATATATATATATATATATATATATATATATATATATATATATATAAACGTATTCTTCTGTGATTCTACACAGTAAATGGTAATCGCTATGAAGGCAACTGGGAAGACGATCTGAGACATGGCTTGGGTCGCTTCTACCACATGCACACCGGCCAGTTGCAGGAGGGCTGTTGGGTGCGCGGGGTGTGTGTGCGATCTAAGATGTCAGATATCATCATACGGCAGTTTTGCGATCTACCTACAGAATATCCAATTCCTATGGTAATTTTCTATACATAGGTAGATATATATTTACTAGTGACACATTTATTGGTGCCCTTACTCCCTAGGGCCCATCTAGGCCCTTCACATTTACATATTAAGGAAGTTTTCAGAAAGGGCGATATTTTTGTCTTACATTTCTAGAAAATCCCTCTTCCTATAAGTGGAAACCGTATGTAATTCGATACAGTAGTTTCTGAGATTAGCTCTAACAAACAAAAACTCAGCGCAACGAGGGGTTTTAATTTATAATTAAGCATAATACGTAGTGACGTTTATTTTGTTATCCCATTTCATACTGTTTAATTCACAATAAATAATATAAATACTCTTGCGAAATAAATGGAAGTAGGTACTTATCGTCTTGTTGTTTTACTGCATTTCACCATTGTGTATGTAACGCACAACTTTATATCTTATCTTGATTCGATTAGTAGCTATGTTTTTGTTTATATATCGTTAATTCAATTTGATCCGTAAAGGAATCGAACCCCTTTCAGTGGACTATGTTTATTTAGCTACAAAATACAAACTCAACAACCATAACGGTCGACAATTCTTCATATTTTCAATCGATTTCCTCAAAAAGTAAGAGGTTCTCAATTCTGCTGTATGTTTTTTTTTATGTTTGTTACCTCAGAACTCCGTCATTTATTAACCGATTTGAACAATTTTTGTTTTGTTTGAAAGTTATACTTCCAGATTGGTCCCATTTAAATTAAAAAAAAAATAACACTCCTATTTTGCAAGAACTAGTGACTTACCCTCGCTTCTCTCGTGAGCGTCCCTGGTGCCTTTTGTATTTATGATATAGACAGCGTCACCTTTTGTTAAATTTTATTATTAAGAGAAGGTCCTTTATATAAGGCCGCGCGTAAAAATCGTACATAAAATTTATAATCGATTTTTGCCTCTTCGACTTGTGCAAATCGGCAGATATTTTTTTATACCACAACGGTAGCAATCAGGCATGCGGCCCACCTGTTGGTAAGCGGTTACCGCAGCCTATGGACGCCTGAAACACCAGGGGCATCACATGCGCGTTGCCGACCCTTTAAGAACCTATTTACTCCCCCTTTGAAGGAGCATATACTGTAGCCCTCTGGGAAAACCTGGACAGGGAGTTCATTCCACAGCGAAATGGTCTTTTTTATTATTCTTATTAAAGATTATTGAATTGCACACTTTTCAGGATGTAATTAGCACATCGTACCTTAATCTGACGGTTTCAAGTATTTCTACCTTATCAAAATATTTTTTAAATATTTTGATCGGCTGCTCTAGACGCGCCCTTATGTAGAGGGCTTATATTATGGTGGAGGTACTCAACAGAGTGCAAAGTATCCCCTTATGTTAATCTGCCGCGCTTGAGTAAATCCCAAAATCCACTCTTGGGCTCCCCCTACTATTATAACATTAGTGCGAGCGATAGTTTAATACACTTGCATTTTATATTCAGGAAACGTTACGAAATTCAAGAAAAATCCTTGAAGAAAGTGAAGTTTGGCTGAAACAAAGAATAGGGGAAGTTGATAATAATTTAAAACACTGCATTGATAAAATGTAAGGTTTATTGTGAAATCATCAGATCATAACGACATCGTTTATAATATCTTTATTTGACATACATTATATTATATTAAAACCTTATACAAAGATATCGAACAGCATTTTATTACTATGTCATAATCATATCACAGTAATTAATTATTTAATGGATTACTTAAGTTACTAGTACAATTATAATTTGATTACACTGCATATTGAGGACATTTCTTTAAGTATAAACATATCAAAGTGTTATTTCTCTTTTTAAATGAACGATTTCTTAGCAAACCTCAATGTTACTTAAACAAGAGAACTAACATAATACTTTATTTACTTTCTTAGATTTACACGAATATTTGACATCTATACATACCTATAATAAAATTGTAACTAAGTCGAATCTGTACATTAAATATTTTTCGGAAAATCTAATTGAAATAGACATTATTATCGAGACATATACAGAGTCCGAATCTATAGTTTTTAGAATTTTTGTCTGTCTGTCTGTTACCGCATCACAAGAAAACCACTGGACAGATTTGGATGAAATGTGGTGTGATTATAGCTGGTTATCCCGGTTAACATATAGGATACTTTTTACCGCGGGAAAATATCTCATTTCTGAGAACAACCACAACATCGGTCATCTGAACGCGGGCGGAGCCGCGGGCAATGCTAGTTTTAAATAAAACTATTTTATAGGAATTTTTCGCGAATTTATTTTGATTTTTGCTTCCCGACACTTCGAATGCTTTACAGCAAACGTAGTCACGGGAGAAACTAAGATCTTAAACGTCTCAAAGGTAAGTGTATACATAGTTGTTACAGACAGCCAACCCATTCGAAACGAACCCACTGAGGATTGCTAAGAATCTGTTCATTATTAATTTAACTTTGAAAATTTTAACTGACGAAATCGTAATAGAACAAAAATTGCCTCTTTTATTTAAATAAAGTGCCTCCCAATATCGCCCAGGAACTTTTTTTAAAAGTACATACATACTTTCACTTAGAAATACCCAATAAATTTCCTATATTACTTACGTACAAATTTTCAGTTACCAATACCTAAGGGTGTAAAACAAGCTATAAAATAAAACATTTTTTGTCAAAATTGGTTCCGTAGTTAACACCAATCAAACATAGATATTATTGCATATAATTATTATAATAGGTACTAAAGTGCAAATATAAATAAATAATAAATTTTATACATATTTAAAAGAAAATAAACACGAGATACCTATACCTGTAAAATTTTTACATACTTTAAGTAGACGAGTGATTACAATAAAAAAATGTATGACAGGATATATAAAAAGGTCGTTCGCATTTCCTTGGACTAATGGCAAAGAATTTAATGCGGAACAAAAATACTTCAATGAAATCACCATAAATTAAACATTATTGATACCATATTATTTTTATCGTCCTAGCCCCTAGGTAATAGTAAAATATTTCGAATCATGGATAATCCATACTAATATTATAAATGTGAAAGTGTGTTTGTTTGCATGTCCTTCTTTCATGTCAAAACGGTGTGACGGATTGGCGTGATTTTTTGTGTGGAGATAGTTGGAGAGCTGGAGAGTGACATAGGCTACTTTTTACCGCGGAAGATTATATAATTCCCACGGGAAAACGCGTTATAATACAATCCAAAAAAATATTTATGATCAGAATTACTTGAAACTTGGTATTCTCTTCAATAAAATTAAATACTTGTTTTAGCTTTTTTCGAAATTCATTCTATAAGGGGGTAATATAAGGGATGAGAGTTTGTATGAAACTACCTTTTTAGATATTTTTTTGTAGTTTTAGCGCGAGCGAAGCCGCGGGTTCTGCTAGTAAGTTATAATTTTAATTATCACATTCAGCATATCCGTTTTAGATCGAGCAAAATTCAAAGCTACAACTTTTAATTATTTTTCTTTAATTGAGCGCGTAGGTATTTCATGAAAACAACTGAACTTAAAAAAAACCTATGTTATCTAATATAACAAAGAAATTTCCATGAAATTGTACTAAAAATATTTTTATAGTATCCAGAATTAGGTACTCAATCTAGTTTGAACTGTCCGTAAAATATGGTTTAAGCAAAATGTTTCTCACAATTATTTGTAAACTAAGCTAAAAACACACGCAGGAAGTGTTGTTAGAGACGAGTTGGTTACATTTAAATATCGGTCAAGTGCCTAATAGGATCTCGTTTCGACCCTTCATATACGGAACCCTAAACCCAATTGAATCAACGTCCGCATCACGAAACCATATGATGAACTCGACTCCTAATCTATACATATAATAAAACTGTAACTGAGCCGAATCTGTACATTAAATATTTTTTGGAAAATTTTATTGAAATATAATTTATTATCGATACAGAGGCCGAATCTATAGTTTTTTAAATTTTTGTCTGTCTGTCTGTATGTTACCGCATCACAGAAAAACCACTGGAGGGATTTTGATGAAATTTGGTATGGTGATAGCTGGTTATCCGGGTCAACATATAGGACACTTTTTACCCCGGGAAAATGTCTCATTTCTGAGAAAAAATACAAAAACGTCAATGCAAGAGTATACTAATATGTAAAACCTAAGAATTTGGTTTTTAGTCATCTGAACGCGGGCGGAGCCGCGGGTAATGCTAGTCACCTATAATCTCTACACAATATTCATAATATTGTACGTCATTTAATTATTAAGATTCCAGAATGCGATGTAAATATTATTATGAAAACGACAATAATGTCGGTATGAGACATTCATTTGAATAATAAAACAATAGCTGTGCAAACGTGTGATGAACGCTCTAATATTTGCGTCCGTGTGGCGCTGTTAGCGAGCTTGTATTATGTCTCCATATCTAAGTTTTATTACGAACTTTAATTATTAAATTAAAAATAGAAAGATAAGTACCAGTTGTTATATTTTTGAAGTTTACCTCTCCCTGTAATTGTGTTTTTACAATATCATTTTTACTTAGCTAAATAAATTCGTTTTGAATGTTTTATTTGTGAAAATTTAGAGGTTGTAACACATTCTTTATGATAACTTGCATTATAATTGTAAATAATTAAATATTATAATTGCAAATTAAGCGACTAAACATGCTGTGTCAATTTGTTAACATTTTCTAAAGATATACAATTTCAAGTATTAATTTTATATTACGTTGTATTGCCCGAATGAACAATCGTGATAACAAAAACTGAATAGTAATTATGTACATTTTATTGGTCACGACCTAAATAATGGCAACATTTGCATGATAGATTACTTTGAACTTAAAACTAAAGCAATATTTTCGCTAAAATATAAACAATACACCAAGGTGAAAAACGCCGCTTTTGAGCAATTGAATCAAATTATCAAATTATTTATGAATACTTAGAACAAAATTCTGAGTTGATACATTAAATATTTTTTGAATTTAGATTTTGAATCTTATTGAAATAGTCATTATTATATAGAGCCCGAATCTATAGTTTTTGGAATTTTTGTCTGTCTGTCTGTCTGGGAACGCATCACGAAAAAACCACTGGACAGATTTTGATGAAATTTGGTATGAAAGTAGCTGGTTATCCGGGTTAATATAGGATTCTTTTCCTGCGGGAAAGTATCTCATCTTTGAGAAATCTATACTAAAAATAAAATAGGAGGGCCTAATCAAAATAAGTAACAGGTATTGAGCCCAAATCAGTCAAACAATAAAAGAAGTTTACAGAACTAAAGAGATTTTAATGTCACATTTGCGGTTACTCTAATTTAAAAAAAAAAACAAATACTAATGCTCTTACAATAATAAAGTAATATTATTATAAACTATAAATATTAAAATACAAAAGTGAAATGTACGTTTTCTATAGAGATTCGGATGACATGTAAATATAATTAGACACGAATATTCAAACATCGTACATTTTAAAAATCCTCCTATACTTAGGGTGCTTTCACGCAATAAGTACAAACAAAATAAGTACTTTTATAAAAAATAAAATAAGGTCATATGCATTATTTAAAAGTATAAACAAACAGCTGTTGCAATAACAAAATAGTTTTGCGGAACACCGTCCCATTATACATTATCAATATCTATGCATGGAAAAAAAAATTAAAACCCATAATTATTTATTATCAAGTAGAAAAAACTTAACTAACTATATACACAAATATAACAATCCCATAGAAAAAACAAACGTGAAGGGCTATCATACCACCCTCTGGTCTAAAAGCGTAAGATTATTCATACGTGAATCGTGATCGCCCATTTCTATTTGTTCTTTGAGCAACTCTAACTCCTTAATACCCGTGACGGTCACTTCGTATTTATGCGTCGCCAGAGACATATAAAAATGTATGGCGAACGCTAGAAATATTATCATAACCGGTATTAAAACAACACAGGCCGACCAGGCGGCAGTTTCGCTTAGATCGTAGAACTTGACCCAGCACAATATAGCTATTTCAACGAGGAATAAGATGAGACCTAACAGAGTGGAGAAGGCCCAAGCTATCTCTATATACCAGTGCAGTCTTTCGTGTGGAGATTCATGGACCAGTGATATACTGTGGAGATTTCCTACAGCTTCTATGTTAGGTAATATACAAGTACTGATCATGAGTGCCAACATGTGTACAGCAACTAATAGTGTGGTACAAACTGTGAAAGCGACGAGCATGGCCGGCGGCACTTTGGTCTGATTTGGTGGATTCAGTTGCACTTCGACCATTGCTACCTGTGAGGTTGATTTTCAGTTCAGTAAATATATTTTAAGTATAAGGGTCCATTTATAAAAGTCCGCACACAAGGGGCGGGTTATTTCTTAGCATGACGACATGACTGTGATAAGAAAGGAGGTGGTCGGGTGATCTCAGAAAACGTGATATTCGCAGTTCATTACTTCTATTTGTAAACCAATGGTTATTTATTACTTTAATTAATTTTTTGAGATAAAAGATCATACATGTTACAATGTATACTTTAAAATTTAAAGAAAAATGAGGCTGACTGACTAAATTTAGAGAAAAAGGCGTAGGTTAAAGTCCACTTATATCAAAAGTCTGGGGACTGAGAGAACTCTTGTACTCTATTATACTACTAGAAAATGTATGTACATCACATGCAAAATCCATCAAATAGTTTTTGCAAATTAGAATAATTTTATACTATTTCAGTAAAAAAAAATCTAGGACCGGTTCCATATTACTTGTTTAAGGGCTTATGCAAACTACGTTTCATAATCGAGCCAACGTCGCGCGTATCTCGAAATTTGTCCAGTATTCGTCACATATTCTAGACTGTTACATAACAAAAAAAACACTTGAAGTGACACTTGCATGACATTTTTAATTTAATTTAAATGTTTTAAACAAGCAAATCAACAAAATACTTTCGTATAACTTTGTCTAAACATTATACATTTAGCTTTACAACAATTCTTGTGCAAGTGAACTTGTTTTAATTTTAAATTTAATATTAAAATAAAACATACCATAGCGAAGCCAGAGAGTAGAGCGGAAGTTTTACTGGAGGCCTTTAATTTGGCACGACTGAGTTGAAGCTTCCGCCATGACAGGTAGGCGGGTGTGTGCAACGCGTCTCCAGACTGTATTGGCGTATCACCTGACATCACGCAGTTGTGCTAAAGAAAAACATCTACATTATAATAAATAAAACCTTCTTAGGTACTAGACTTACTGTACCCGAAGGGTGCCAAAGGGATCCTATTACTAAGCCTCCGCTGACCGTCTGTCTGTCATCGTGTTGTATCTCAGAAACCGTAATAGGTAGAAAGTTGAAATTTTTACAGTGTATTTCTATTGCCGTTATAACATTATAACATATAATAATAAACCAAGATGGCGAATTTAAAAAAGACGATTATGATACGGAACCCTTCATGTGCGAGTCCGACACGCACTTGACTGGTTTTTCTATTTTGAGAGGGACATAAAGACTATGTTTAATTAATATATTTAGTTACAATATTTCTCTCATATTTGCATGAATCCCTTAACAGAAGTAATAAGTTAACGATTAGTAACATAATGTCACTTCCGTATACTATATTTCAGTTATTTATTGTATCAGTCTACTTTGAAATACGGTAAAGCTGCATTGAGTAGTAATTGGAGGCACCCTTTGGCTTTATAATAAAAAAAAATGAAATCCAACTAAACTATCATCTTCTAAATTTAAATTACTTACTTCTCTTGGCATGCATGCTTACTTGATACTACATATATATGCGCATATAAGAAACTTGTATGGTTATAGCTAGGCATATGTCTATTAAAAATGGTTAATTTTTTTTTAAACTAACTTAAAATGTAGTTCTCATTAAAATTATAATCTACGGTTTACAGGAAAAAGGACAACCTATTTGCAATATACCAGTGTTAGTAAAAAAGCTATTAAAAGTAATTGTTTCAATAATGGTATTTAGAGAATTTAAAACATTGTATGAATTTATTCAAGGTAATTAGTTAAAATGTAAATTTAATTGATAATGCATGGCAATCATTAAAAATGCATTGTTTTGAAAAAGTAAAAAGAAAAACAATTTAGGGAAGTACCTAAATTATATATTAGCTAATTTATTAAATACTAGCGACTCACCCTCGCTTCTCTTTGGGTTCGTCCAGAGACAAATGCAAATCTATCCCACAGGAACATACATTTTTCCAAGATGAAAAGTAATGTATACACTATTCCAAACTATAATCTATCTCTGTGCCACTTTTCTTCCAGATCGGTTCAGCTATTCTGGCGTGAAAGAGTAACAAGCGTAACAAGAGTAACAATCCTCACAAACTTTCACATTTATAATATTAGTATGGAATTATGAACTTTTACAAACAGTTATCTATACTAATATTATAAAGAGATAAAATTTATGAGGTTGTATGGGGGTAATCTCTGAATCAACTGAACCAATTTAGATGTTTAGTAAGAATATAGTTTGAGACCCTGGGAAGGACATAGGAGATGTTTTATACCGGAAATCATCCCTTAAGGGGGTGAAAATGGGGATGAAAGTTTGTGTGAAGAATCAACCTAGGGATAAATCTGAGCAAAGTTAGGGTGAGTTGCTAGTAACTATATAAAGATAAATACTTAATATATTATGATATTAATTCATTAAAATATTGTGTAAATAATTGAATAATATAAAATATAATATATATGATAGAATATTAAATACATAACACAATATGATAAAATAGTTTAGTATTTTACATGAAGCTTAACATAAGCATTATTTAACTATTTAACTAATACAACACACTTCAGCGCAATAAGCATGTAAAGGATAGTTTATCTAGAGGATATTTAACAAAATAAGAATTTTAATTGTATGGAAGCTAATGGAACCATATGACATAAGCCCTTTTGCCCATTTAATGTTAACTGTTAAGCAAACTCACATTTAAAACAAAACAGTTGAATAGCTTCTCCGGATGTGCAGGATATACCAAATATTAAGATGTCATTAAAGACCTGTCATCAGTTCCACTAAGAAAAAAGTTAAATTATTAACTTGAATTAAATAACTTCATGCAATGTTTCATAAAATTGGCTTGTTTGCATTTGAAGTGACAAAAGTGCAATATAAAATTTATTAAAACAAAAATGTATATTTCAAAACAGGCATTTGTTTGAATTGCTTATGTTTAACAATACATATTTTTTTATTATAAAATAAACAGTTATGATAACAATCTCTTGATTCAATAATGATAACAATATCATACCTTAGACGGATTCGGACACCAGCTATTGGATTGACTGTAACGACTGTTCGAATGCCCGTAGTGATGATTATTGCCGATAGTACTAGCCGACCAAACCGACATGCCTAAACAAATTGTACGCAGCACGACAGTCCTTCAAATTAAGAGGACGAGGTCACTACCTTTTATATGATAGTATATTTTCCATGGGCATAGATACATTTAAAAATAATTACTTTTATAATATAAGATTTGCTATAGTTCAAATCATAAATCACATAACATTTTTGTAATCAAATTCACTAAAAATAACAAATGGTAAAGTGTTAAGTGACGTAAGCGTCTAATAAATGACAGACTGTCGACTGACACATTCAATATTCAATAATAATTTATCTATACAGATTATAAACATTATTAATTTGAATAATATTTATAAAGTATAATTTTTAATTATTTATGCCACTATAAAACTATATATATTTTTCTTAATACTTATCAAATGGATATATTTTTAATAATAAGTAGAAAAGTAAAGTAAGTAACAATACTATTAAGTTGTAACACCGTACGAGTATCCGAACTCTTTATGCAGACTGCGCGTAACAAAGACGGATAGATATTAGATTTATCTTATCCAATTTTGTAACGGTACTGTGTCCGTACCATAGAGTATATTGCTACAGTCCGTACGGGAGTGTCCAAGAAAGTCGGGCGCACAGTTGAACGAGAATGATAAGCGAATTGCTTTGCAAGTGGATAATGTAGGTCGGATATAGCAGTTTGTTTTGGTTTATCATTGGTTACATATTGTGAATTGATGCTCAGTACCTGGATTGTACTCGGTGATCTATGATATATCGGGATTTGGAATTCGAAATACAGTGACAGGAACATACTGTAAACATTTGCTCTGTGGTTAATTAAGTGGTTTTCCTATTTTTTGTGTATCGCAATGGCCGAAGCTGCTGCATCCACTTGTACCAATAATCCTAATGCCGAAATTGTACGAGGCCAGGTGTTTGAAGTGGGCCCTAGGTACAAGAACCTCCAGTACATTGGGGAAGGAGCTTATGGCATGGTTGTGTGAGTAATTTGATATCAATTTGAATATGTATTTTGATTTTCCTTATGTGTATTTATTTACCCATAGAATCAGTCTATTGTTGGAACTATAATTTAAACAAACAAGCTTACTATTTACAGTAGTTTCATAACCTGAAAATGTTCTACATTTCAAGTAAAGTAAATTTCTGTTTCCACATACCTATTTGTTTATTTAAAATAAAATAGTGCTGAAGTTTTCTATCATTTTACCTATAATTTAATTTAGATTTTTTTTTTATTACGTACACTAATCACTGAACTTATCTCAATGTATGAAAACTTGCATTCATAAGCTTATATTCAGAGAAAAGTTTTTTCACATAACAGAATGTACAAACTACAATTACTATTTATATTATTCTATGTGATTAATCTGTTTAATGTCAAACTTTAATTCAAACATAATATTTTATCATCGAACACCAGATAATTTTTGTAGGACATCCTGAAAACTAGTCTAACCATAAGTTCCTTAATATGTAAAATGTTGAGTTATAATTATATGGTTATTATGAACTTCTTTTTCTAACTTTTTAACTCAATAGTGGAAACTTGGAAAGTTTTACGATTGATTGAATAGGGATAAAATCATTTTTGTACAATTCTTTACAAAGATGAATTATACTTAAACATTAAAGAATCACTTAAATTATATATCATACACTATGAAAATCTACTTTGTTTTTTATAATACTATCAATTTAAATAACTTTTAGTATTTCTTTGTACTAAGCGATAACATGGAAAGCAACCAAAAATTGTGACAAATTCAAGAAAAATGTGAGAACATTTAGTTTTTATTTTTATAAATATATTGGTCATCCATGATAAACTAATCAGATCTATGATAATTTATGTAAGGTACGGTTTCCTAAAGTTTTTTGTTGAATCATTATGATTATTTTCTATCCTAATATTATAAAGAGGTAAAGTTTGTGAATTGTGAGTTTGTGACATTGTAGGAAGTAATTTTTGGATCTACTGAACTGATTTAGATGAAATTTGGTAAGAAGATAGTTTGAGATCCTGGTAAGGACATATGATACTTTTTATCCTGGAAGCCATCTAAGGGGGTAAAAATGGGTATATAAATTTGTATGGGGAATCAACAGAGGGACGAAACCGAGCGAAGCAAGGGTGAGTCACTTGTATAAAATATTTTTATGTCCTTATTTTTTTATTAAAATAGAACACACATTGTTTTAACTACTTTTATTTATTTTAATTTTATGTTATACAAAATAAACTCTCTATGCCCCCCTAAGTGGGAATGAATTCTAAGCCAAAATTTAGTAGTAAATCCAACATTTTCGTAACTTATGAATGAAGAAGGTATTTAATATGTCTGTATTTTTTCATGTGTACATGTTAATTATGTCATCATGTTTAATTGAGAATAGAGTTTACTAATTATTTTTAATATGTTGGTTATACTTCATAGATTCCTTGCCTAAGAGTAGAATAATTACAATCCAGCCCTCCAACAATCTCCACTGTACATAAAATTCATATATAATTATACTAGCATTGGCCGCGGCTTCGCCCGCGTTCAGATGACCAAAAACCAAATTCTTAGGTTTTACATATTAGTATACTCTTACATTGCAGTTGTTGTATTTTTTCTCAGAAATAACATATTTTCTCGCGGTAAAAAGTATCCTACGTGTTGACCTGGATAACCAGTTATCACCATACCAAATTTCATCAAAGTCACTCCAGTGGTTTTTCCGTGTTGCGGTAACAGACATACAGACAGACAAAAATTCTAAAAACTAGATTCGGCCTCTGTATAGATAATAATGTCTATTTCAATAAGATTTTCCAAAAAATACTTAATGTACAGATTCGGCTTAGTTTTATTATATGTATTTTTAAATATATATAAGTATATATAATTTGAATAACAATATTGTGAATAACAATAATGATGATTTGATAATTTTAACATTACCATTTTTTATACTATTAAATAAAAGAAAAATATAATAAAATAATTTTTGTAAGCAACAATAGGTAATATCGTTTTTATAATAATGCTAAACCTAGTGCGTCTAATTAACTAGATTAAAGAAATTTCAAAAGCAGTATTAAGGTATGAACATGAATATAACAATGGGCTTTGAGTCAGGCACAACCATTCCCACCGCGTTCCATCAATCGCATTCCGACCACGTACTGGAGGTTTAGTATCATATCCAATAACGAAATCTATTTCATAGTAGCCTCAAACAATGATACCTTTTCATCTTTTTTGAAATAAAAATATTGGCAACCAGGTATCGACTCAATTATATAACTTTACTGTACTCGTTAGATGACCGAGAGAGGCTGGGACCTAATCCATGATTAATTTTGAGAATTGAAATATTCCTATTATCATTTCATACCCCGAAAAGTTTAGTAAGAACTAAAATAATCATACGATGTAATTTAATACATATATTTTTAATTAAATATTTCTTACATTTTTAATTCTATGATTAAAATATTATATATATGTACCTACTTAATTCTAAATGAAAAATTTGAGATGAATATTTAGAATGTGTAAAGATTTTATTCATTTTATCAATAAAATAAAAAAGAAATTTTAATTAATATGGAAAAATCGAACCAAACATTCGAAAAGAAAACGAGTACCTACTTCGCAGTTAATGATTTCGAACATCGTTGATGGGCACATTAATCTATGTCATTAATTCTAAAGAAAACTAGATAAAGATAGTCTATGGTTCGAAAATAAAATTGATGTGCATTATGTAATTTGTAAGAAGTAATTTATTTAGTGATGATGTGTGCCATTCTAAATCAAAGGTTGTATATATGTATCCCCACACAGGGTAATTTTTGTTTATGTATAACAGCCTGTTAAAAATAAAGCACGAGATTGGATATCGTCATCTAACATGCGATGTCCCGATGCAACTGGTTTTATGTTTCGTAGAATGGGGCTCAATTGTTCTCTACAAAAATATTTTACAAGTAATTCAATAAAATGTGTTATTTATTTTCCTAGTACACGATCAAATTACAATTGAGTTTATAAGAGTTTATCAAATACGTGGATACGTTCAAACGTGCTTGGCAAATACTGCTTCAATATCGATGCAGTTTTCATCACTTCAGTTAATAAACGGTCGTGACCTCCAGCTCTATATGAGACTTTATTGCACAGAAAAGCTCTGAAATAAAGAAAAATACCTCCCAACTGTACTGATTTACCTATAGGTACTAATATTTTTTTTTGTTGGTTTGTTTATTTGTTTAAACGCGCTAATCTCAGGACTACTAAACGAATTTGATAAATTATTTTTTCATTAGACAGCCCGTTTATTTAGGAAGGCTACAGACTATATATCATGCTACTAATCAAGGGTGCGGAGCAGTAATATAATTTATAGTGTATCTATTCCATACTAACCGTTCAAACGTATCGAGTGACGAACCCGAGCGAAGCGACGGTGATCCGCTAATGAAAGATAATATAAAAACGACTAAAATAAAAAGAAGTAACGCCGTCAGTTGCGCTCATTATCCTAGTACGTTATCTCTGTGCAAAAAACATAAAATTTGATAAATTTGTACTTTTATCGGGCCCACCATGAACATTTTTCTTTTTATCTCGACTTTTTCTTTGTGGTTTGCCTCTTCCGGCTTAAAATGGCTTGACATTGGTATTCTACTTGCGTGGAAACTAAGAAGTTTGTTGGATACAATGGTCCGAAAATAATATTGTTTGTAAAAACCATAACTAGATATTTCTTTGAGAATTTTTGTTGTATGTATTTCTTCGACCGTCAAGACAGTACAATGCTTACATAATGAAAGCTTAGTTAATTTACAAAGACATTATAAAAGTGCCCTGTCTTTTGCAGACTTGGACGGTTTTCTTTGAAGAAAATAGGTTTTTTCTTATAACGGAATCAGTTTTTTTTGTTATGTTTCATTTATTCAGTGAGTACAAAAATTTAATAGGCTTTCTAAACATATTATATTGAGGTGTACTATTAAAAAATATTTAATCTGATTGTGGATTAAATGTTTTAAGTACCAAAATACTTTATCTAAACCTAATGCTACCTACTAACGATAACAATTTGATTAAATGGCGGAAGAATAATAGCGCCGCGGCGTGGGATTCAATAAATAGACACCTGGGTATACTTAGATAGGGGCTTAGAAACGTACGTAGGGAAAAACGTTATAAAGTTATAGTAGAAAATAAATATATCATTTATATTGATATCATTATCACATCAGAGCATTGTCTTATACATCTATCTATCCTAATATTGCAAAGAGGAAAAATTTGTTATTATTTGTTTGTTTGTATAGAATAGGCTCCGAAACTACTGAACCGATTTAGATGAAATTTAGTAAGAAGATAGTTTGGATCCCTGGGAAGGTCATAAGATAGTTTATATCCCAGAAATCATCCCTTAAGGGGGTGAAAGATTGTATGGGGAAGCAACCTAGGGACAAACCAAAGCGAAGCGATGGTAGAGTCGCTAGTTACTCAATAAATTAAATATAATTTTTTCTCCTTGCTTTATAAGACCTTAATAACAGTTCTTTCTTGGTTCCAATAGCTTTTCGAGCTAAAACTTTGTACAATATGAAAGAAAATTTTAAAAAGTAATTTAGGTTATTTAGGTATGCAGCTGCACGCACTATATACTACATACGACTCTTTTTTTTCTATTGGCGATTATAAATATATATATATATATATATATATATATATATAATGTATAGATTTCTCAGAGATGAGATAATTTCCCATCATTATACCACATCAAAATCTCTCCAGTAGTTTTCTTGTGGTGCGTTCCCAAGCAGGCTATACAAATTATGACTATTTCAATAAGATTTTCCAAAAAATATTTAATGTACAGATTCGACTCAGTTACAATTTTATTATATGTATACTTTTCAAACATTTTCAACCTTTGCTCCGTTCATATGTTACGTGTCGATAA